GTCTGCGATCCTTCAATAGAGGAGGAGGAACAGCAAATATGCACCAACTCTCTCTCTCTCCTCTCGTCGTGGCCAGCAGATCTCGAAATTGGCATTTGAGCTCTTGAACATAATCGTTGCCATACGTAAGCATAGCAGAGTGAATGTACCGTTGGACATTACTTAAAATGAACGTATATTAGTTGTCATTCATGAATCTGCAAACTTAAGTTGGTTAGCCGGCGGCAATTGCACCCGATGTTTGTCACTGTGCCAGGGACATCTTCGTGTCTGTCCGCGTGTCCCAAGGACTCGCGTCTCACAACTCAGCCCACGATCTACCAACCACGCAGCTCGGCTCAGTCACCACGCAGCTCACCGACAGCAACGTTCGTGGGACAAGATTGACACCGATAATACTTTCACGAAAACATGTTTTGTTTTAATTAAATATAAAAGTAAGCCTTGTGTTGCATACTCGTGCGTGGGCGTAAGCGTGCGTCCTTCAGCGAGGCGCACAGGAATGTGCACGTGAGTCATTGGGTCTCTGTGAGAGTCTGTGGATCTCTATGTGAGTCTATGGGTCTCTATGAGAGTCTATGGATATTTATATTAGTCTATGGGATTTGTGTAAGTCTATGGGTCTCTATGTGAGTATGTGGGTCTCTGTGAGTCTATGGGTCTCTATGTATGTCTATGGATAGTTATACGAGTCTATGGGATCTGTGGGAGTCTTTGAGTCTGTGTGTGTCTATGGGTTTATGTGTAAGTCTACGATTCTCTATGTAAAGCAATGGGGAGGGTATTCGCGAAAGGAAGTCCACGCAAGTAGCCCTGCTTCGGGAACATTAATGTTCCCTTTTGACTTAAAACTTTCGTGACTGCAGGCATTCATACTCTATGGTTCTTTCATAATAAAATAATATTAACGTTATTTGTATTATTTTATTGTTATTATTTTTTTCTATCTACGTGACTTTACCGAAATAACCATAGACTATTTCAGTGTCCCCGTTCAAGACGAACACCTGTAGAGCAGGAGAAGACGCAGCGCACGTTGTTGACTCCAGCCTGATCTTTCCCGGAGCCCCAAGCCTGTCTCACACCCCCTCATACACCCCCCCTCCTCCCGCCTCTCCTCTTTCCCGACAATCTACAGTAAATCGTTCCGGGGATTTCCCCCCCCCACCCCCAAATCCCCTATCCCCTTTCAGGCGCATTCCTTGCCCAGCACTCTGGTTATTTGGGCGTCACGGTTGCGAAATGTGAACTCTCTCGAGATGTGAACTCTCTCGAGATGTGAACTCTCTCGAGATGTGAACTCTCTCGAGATGTTAACTCCCACCGCGCTGATAAGCGCGCTCCGTTCCGGGGTGTGCGTGCGTGCGTGTTTGGATGGGTGACGATTGTCCAGAACCGGTCCTGATGCTTCCCCTAGGTCGACTCAGCCCTCAAATCAGTACCCGGTGCGGTGCGTCAACATCGCCACTGGGAAGACGAAGGCGGGCCGGGCGTGGGTGCTGGCCACCCACCCCCTCGTGTGCCGTGCCGGCCTTCATAGGTGCTCGCTAACAGCACTTGCCCCAACAGTCCGTTCAGCCTATACGGGGGATCTTTGTGTGTGTTTATGGTGGAGCGGTTGTTTAGTGGTTAGCACATAATTGAATCGGTACTGGGCCTGAAATGAGTACAGTACCTGGTGCAATGTGTAAACATCGCCTACTCGGGAGACAAAGACGGGCCGAGGGGTGGTTGCGACCAGCGCTTGCCCCAACAGTCTGCTAAAAGGCTATACGGGGACATATTTGTATTGTCTATGGGGGGGGGGGTGTGTTTGGGGGGGTGTGTGAGCGCTCGGCCAATGAGCGTCCAGAGAGACTCACCTGCTACAACTGTTGCTGCACGTGCGCGGAGGGGTCACGGAGCGGACAAGAACCCCCCATGCACTGGAGGGGTCCCACACGGGCTCTGGTTTGTTGACGTGACAGGGCGGGGCGCGCCTTCATCCAGCAGTGGCGGGATAAAAGGGCTGTACATTATCTATTGATTTGCACGTACGCACTAATTTCCACTTTTTTGGGTGAACTCACTTTAATACCTTTTAAAAATATATAATAATACAATATTGATGAGCAGCGGCACCTTCACGACACAGGTCCCGGGTCCCGCCCGAGATGTTTACACGGGGCACGGGGAAAATACACATTGTACTATGTTTTATGTGTGTCAAGCTTCTTTCGCACCGTACGTGGCCAACCGTGCTTAATTGGCGGATGCACATTGTGGTATTGATTAGACGGGAACCATGGGGATGGTAGAGAGGGAGTTGTCGTCTAACGTTCCCACTGCTGATTAGTTCCGTGTGTCTGCACCACGGCAGAATCGATCCAGATCAGCGATGTTTTTACCGGGGTACCCGTGTCCTCCGGCTGGGAGAGGCCGTGCAAAAGTCTCAATTATTTAAAATGTTCTCTGGATTATAAGACGCACTCCCTACCCCCTCTATTTAAAAACAAACTAGCAGGCCGCACGCATTTTGGACGTGTCCGTCCGTTCCTCCAGCCAGCCAGCTAAACTATTTGATATCGAGTGAAAGTATCCGTCCCCACCTCCCCATCCCTGGGTGCTCCCGTCCCGGGCCTGACAACCCCCCCTCCACCCACTTATCCCCAAAGTTGCCCCCCACCTCACCCCCCACCACCCCCCCCACCCGCGCTTTCCCTCTGTGCCCACCATCGAAATCGCCCCCCTCCCCAAACCGTGCCCCCAACCACCTCCGCTCGCTGGGCAAGGCATGGCCTCCAGCACGGTGCCAGCCAGCCAGCAACATTTTGATCTCTCATGTAGTATTATAGCTAACGGTGGTAAGGATTGATCCCTGCAACTTCTTGCTCACTCACGCCAATGCTGGCTGAAGGGCCTCCATTCAGAGGAGGCTCCAATGGTTTATACTCAAGTGGACATCCTTATCCTATGTTATGCAACATGTTCATCACTCCACTAAAGCAGTGTATCTGGCAAGTTAACAATGCTGTACATATACCCCGTTACTCGCTATGTTGTCTGCCACGACGAACACGCGTGTGCTGTGAGTGCGTGGCTAACATAAGATTATCTGCCCCAGCCTCAGGCCTGCTTAGGTTGACTCTTGGGATACAATAGCGACCGGGCGTGGTAGTGGCCACGCCACCCGCTTGTGCGTTGTGCCGGCTTTAACAGACGCTCGCTTATATGAGAACTTGTCCCAACAATCTGCGTATGCTACACGGGTGATCTTTGTCTTTGTATGAGATGGCGTTACAGAGACGGTATGCGTGTATGGCTAACCCATACTCATTGCGCTCTGAATCCAGGTAGCTGAATTCCAATCCCGGTCACGCCTAAAAACTTTGGCGAATTATATCTGAACCCGTCAAAGGTATCCTCCCCCTTCACCAACCTGAAGGAGAGTCAAGCAATCCCCCTGACCGAAAGACACGTGGAGATCACCTCTGGTTCTAGAATAATACCAGGTAAATGAGCAATTATCAGGTGTTAGATGTTTTTTATATTTATTTTACTGCCATAAAATATGATTTGCGTATTTGGTTGCAGGACAATCTTGATAGACAATTCCCTCCCCTGCATCGCGCGGTGGGCCCTGCGTAGTGCAAGCAATGAAATGGGACCCCTTGCCCCCCCCCACCCCCGCTCCATAGCCAGGCGTATCGGTCCCTGTGCAGTTGCACCGCCTGCACAGACGAAAGCTATATCACTGCCAGAGAGAGCCATGCGAGAGACCCTGCTTTTTGAGACACCTGTGGCATTGAGAGGATAAACTTTGGGATGGGCAGTTGCAGCTCACGGCCACAAGGTGACGCCCGTGTGAAGAGTCATCGCGGTCCTTCCAAACAAAACACGCAAAGGAATTGCACTTACGCGGCTAGAGTAGTCACAAGGGCCGTCGGCCGAAACGTTAGCTTATTGTATGCTAGTCTGGTTATAAGACGTGATAAGCGCATTACGCAATGAAACTCTGAAACCTGAGTTCGATTCCCGGCAACGGCGAAGATCGGTGGCGAGTAATGTCTGAACCGGCTCTGGATCACCCTGTTAGGTTTGCCGGAATCGGTATCTCTATTCTGTTGGCACGAATGATCTACCGAGATCTGATAGTGTCGTGTTGAACTTCACGACGGTAGACTACTCGGTTTTTTTTAATAGACCTAGGCTGACTGAGAAACATGTCCGGGTTTGATTTACGGTGCAAAAAGGTGGTTAGCGAACTCTGCTGCGAAACCCGGCGACCCGAGTTCGATTCCCGCTCACGCCTAACATCAGTGACGAATATCTGAACCAGGTCCCGGGCCTCCCATAGGTAGACTCAGCGTCAAATGAGTACCCGCTACCGCGTGCAAACATCGCCACTGGGAAGACAAGCGCCCTCGGGGCGCGGTGCCGGTCACCCTCCCCCCTCGTGTGGCCGTGTCGCCCCAGCACAGACGCTGCTCACAAGCGGCTGTTCGTTAACAGCTGTGCGGGGGCATCTTTGCCTTTGCGTGACACTTAGGCGGGACTGCCTCGCGCTCTGTGTGTGTGTGACAGCGATTTGTGCGACTGCTCCCGCGTGGCGAGAAGCGGGGGTGCATTTTTTTTTTTCACCGAACGCGGGTCGCTATGTTTGCGTGAATACGGTACTGCGGTTCACGGCCGGGCACCCGCTCGCCGGCGATAGCCCGGGCCTCTCCGCGAAGCCACCCGGGCTATGTAGCCTCGCGGCCTCGCTCCCCCCCCACCCCCACCGCCCTCCCTTTCTCCCCTACACGAGGCTCAGCCAGCGCCTGCTCCGTCCGACCTCTGTTGGGGAAGCCATGGAAGAGGTGGACATGGAGAACAAAGCCAAGAGAGGTCCGTATCGCCCCCCACCACCATCAACCCCCTCCCCCCACCCCCACCTCTGGCTGACGAGCGCAAGATGGCTGGGCTTAGGTTTGGTGGTATTGTAAGATGGACGTCGCCACAGCATTGCGTGCTTTGTCTCCCTGCCGTCGCGCCCGGCCTTGCGCTGTTTCTCCCTCCCTTCTGCGTCTCTCCCCGCGACTCTTGTGTGTGCGACGCGGCGGCGAGATAAGCCGGGGGTCGTGTGCGAGGCGCGGCCCTCCGGGAGAACCCGATACCCGATCCGTTTTGTAAACTTGGCACAACGGCGGTGAAATGGAATTAAATCAGAGGGAATATAATTTGTGAAGCACAAAATGCACGGAGATGAGCCCCCCCCCCCCTCCCCCGCCTCCCACCTCGTCCAGCATTGGATTGACAAAAGGGCTGTACACGTACTACCACTTGTAGTCACGGATTAGCTTGCTCTTTATATGTATGTTGAACTTCTTTCGCACCGTACGTAGACAACCGTGCTCATCGGCTTTGTTAAAATAACAAAGTAGACGCGTTGGAGAATCGATGGCGCCCATTGAAGGCGCTACGAAATGCTACCACCTAACCACGACCCAGCATCTGACCTACTCCAACCATGCACGCTTCGTAAGAGTGAATACATGATTGACTAAATAAATGAGTTGACTTAATGCGTTAGTTTCGGGGTTTAGTGCCGTGGTTAAAATTGGATACAACTTGAAGTATCCAGTGCAAAAAGTTATTGATTAGCATATCGACAGAGCTAAATGGAAGGTCATGGTCGACGACGTCTCTGAGAAAGGACATGACACACAGAGAGAGAGAGAGCTGTAGTTAGACACAATATGAAAAACAAAGAATCGGTGGCACATCATCATCATCAGCGGGTGTCACCGGCAGTGCGATAGCAGCCACAGGTCCTGAATTGGTCTCGGTGAGTCGAGGTGACAGCGCCGCCCCGTGTGAAGTTGGTTCAGCACCAAGGACAGCGCCGGCGCTCAATCGGCCCGGGGATCGGCATCGCTGAGTGGCCACTCCAATCCCAACGACTCGATGATTTTCCGAGATACTGGGTCACGTTTCCATTCAAGAACAGATTAATTTTGCGTTGGGGTTTTTTTAATTAAATTTCGGTTTGTTTGTATTATTTGTCAGGGTTTTACTTGTCTCATTTGTACAACATTCACTCCGCATGCGTGAATGTGACGGTAAATCGCTGTGCATCCGGTTTGCATGAGTTGTAACTAATCGATTCTTACACGCACAATACGAGCCATGTCCTCAGCCTAATGATCCATTTTTAAGAGCACCACAAGGAGCATACGCAAGTTAGCGACAGACTAAAAAACGAAATACGACTCAATATTTACTTTTAATTTACATTTTTTTAAAAATCTAAATCACGTTGGTTTGTATAACTCGGCCAAGCACGACGCCTGTGATCTTGCAGACGACGTGGATGCTTTGTTTAAATTCACATTTCAACCGCACCTCGCCAATTCCCGACATAATCGCCCAATATATATTTAGTCTCAGTTTGACTCGTGCCAAATCGCAGTCAGTCGACGGCAATGCATCCCAAGAGCCCGACACTGCCCACAGCGGGCGTTGTGAGACTGTTCACAATGCGTGACACAAAGCCGTCAGAAGCCGCTCGCGACTCCAGTGTACACACACAATGCGTGCTGCACGTCGAATACGGGGCTCCATGCCTGGTGTGTATTTAAAATGTACGGCGACCGATTTGGTGATACGTGTACATATGCGTTTGCGCCACGACTGTCAATCCACTGCTGGATGAGGGTCTGCTCCACACGCCGTGCGGGTCGTGGGGATGGGGGTTATTGACGATACGTCACCACGCTGGTAATTGCGGGTTATTTTTTGTTGTTGTGGTGGTGGAGCCATCGACGTGCAGTTGCAACAAGTATTTTTTTTTTTTTATTGGGCTGCCTCTCTGCTACCTACAAATGACAGGGGTGGTACGCAATTGTACAGGGGCGGTGTGGCGTTCAGGGACGTTGTGCGGTTGTACCGGAGAAATATAAAATTTGTGTAGGATACGATGGATTTTACTTGGCCATACCTTCAGTGCGGTTTAGCGAGAAGTGGAGCAGCCGTTTGAAACCAACCCACTCGCTCTGCTAATCGATTCTATTCTTGCGTATGGCAGCAATGTGGTTCAGGAGCTAGATGCCAATGTCGAGGTCTTCTCGCTACGACGAGAGGGCTTCAGGAGAGTTTCTGTAGTCTTGCTACTCCTCCGTTGAGGGAGTGCAGTCTACATTGATTTACTGTATGGTCTCCATGCTATTGGTTGCATGGTCACAATTGCACTGTGGCTTAGTCTTTCATTAACGACGCCTATGTTGCCCAGACGACGGTAGTTGCGTTTAAGGTAACGAGAAAACGCGTACCAGGGTGGGCCGCGAAAAAGCGAACAGCTCCCACCCTCCTAACCCATCACACACAGAGGCGCACACGGACGAAAGTCACTCCTTACACGCTCGTGCTCGCTAGATAAATGCGATTGATATCAACCCATCCATTCACATCGATCAGCGTTCCAGGTAAGGTGAAGGTCTCGGAGTAATTAACCCACCAATTGTTGTGAGTAAAATGTATTTTCAGAGGGTAAAATACCACATTAGTTTGCGGTCATGATTCAGTTAGATAAATAGATGAAACACGTTCATGCTAACCCACAGGGCATGCATTCACTTGAGACTTGCATTTGAACTGCAGCGGTGCTGTGAACTACTTTAGCTTGACTGTCTCACATTGATTTGCTGTCTTGCTGACATTGGATAGGAGGAGACACAGAGGGATTGAGTATACATGCAGAAAATGTGATCCATATTAGATTTTCTGATGACATCGACATTGCTAATGACCAATATGAGTTGACGAAGTTAATAAAGAAGGCTGCAAAGTTGGGCACGAGAGAATGTGAATGTAGCAAAAGCTATGGACAACAACCTTGGCTAAACTAATGGAAATATTTGTCGGTTGCTTCACAACTGGAAAACACATTACAGTACTTACAACAAATGTTGCTGCAGTGTACACATACTGTATGTTACTAATTTATTACACTTGTTTACCTAGTAAAGCGTCACTGAGTATCGTGACGTTGTCAGGGGAGTCCTGCTGAGTTTTCCTAATGCTGTGCATATTCCAAAAATGAATAATCTGCGGGTAATTTGGAATTCATGACGACGGCGGCCAAAGGCCTCCTCTTGCAAATTACGTCAGGTGACATGTAACATCCCACTGTGATGCGCGTCCCGTGTATTTATACGATTAGTACGCCCGCAGTAATAACCAGAGCGGCCCGCTGGATTCGAAACCGTGACTCTCTGCAACCATCGTGTGAACGCGCTACCGCCCGACCATGTCACCACCGCCCGAATATTTGCAATGATATTTGGCAAGATGACCGCAGCGACGGCCACCTGGCTCATATTTTATTGAGCGTGCGCGTTCGCGCCGAGCGAGGCAACAGCTTCATCATTTGGAGAACGCAGGAGGCGTCGTCCACAGACCACCGCTAGGCTCGGTTAGCGGGCAACAAAGTGCAACATCGTTTGTCTTGCACCACAGCCACCTGACTATCGGCTCTCTCCGACGGTGCGTGCGTGCGTGCGCGCGTGTGCGTGGCAGTGTCGGACAAGCTGACGGACAGCATGTACATCCTCGCCAACGAGCCCTCGGTCGCGCTCTTCCGACTGCAGGAACACGTGCGCAAGTCCCTGCCGGAGCTGGTGGAGCACAAGGCATGGGGTTCCCCGCAGCCCCCACACCAGCCCATGCCCCCCCCGCCCCACTCCTCGGTGGTGTACGCAAACATTTGTAAGAGCACGGTTTCACCGTCCGAGTCGAATCCTGACTGCGTGTGTCGCACTGCATTGTGCCGCAGGTCGACATGCAGAGCCGCGAGCAGCAGGGCCAGGGTTTGATCTACGACGTCGATTATGCCATCGGGTAATGGGACTCTCCGCCCTCCTCCTCTCCCCTCTTCCTCCTCCTCCTCCTCCTCCTCCATCCTCCTCCTCTCCTCATTCCCCTCCTCCTTCCTCATCTTCCTCCCCCTCCATCCCTCCTCCTCCATCCTCCTCCTCTCCTCATTCCCCTCCTCCTCTTCCCTCTTTCTCCTCCTCCATACTCCTCCTCTCCTCATTCCCCTCCTCCTTCCTCATCGTCCTCCCCCTCCCTCCCTCCTCCTCCATCCTCCTCCTATCCTCATTCCCCTCCTCCTCTTCCCTCTTCCTCCTCCTCCATACTCTTCCTCTCCTCATTCCCCTCCTCCTTCCTCATCTTCCTCCCCCTCCCTCCCTCCCTCCTCCTCCCTCCTTCTCCTCCTCCCTCACCCCCCCCCCCTCCTCCTGATCATCATCGCTGTACGAGTGATGTGACCTTGACGTCATCGCCGTAATGAACGCATTACGGGTTTCTTTTTGTCGTCGAAGAGACGTCGAGATCGTGTTGGATAGCCCGGCACGCACATCCTTGGGGTGTAGCTGCAAGACAAGACCCGTTTAAACCAATGTTTAAACTTACCGTAAATGACGAGAAGCTCTTTAGGAGGAGAACCAATCAGACAGGCTTGTGTGCGTTACACACGCAGTGTGGTGATGTCAGGTGACATTTTTGTTGTCCTTCCCCTGCACCTCCGATTAGCATGTTGGTTGACTACGTACGGTGCGAAAGAAGTTCAACACACATACGTGCGACGTGCAAAGGACGACGGGACGACCGTTCTGATGGCCACAATCACCCCTTTTCGCTGTCAGGAAAAAATCATACATTTTTGTTTTGCGTGTTGTATTATCATTATTGTTACGTTCCATGAGCAGTTTTGTTTTTAGTCGCGTCTTCCGTTAACAGTTTGACCATGAACCCGTGATCACCCGTGGTGTGCACACGGGCAGTTGGACTTGGCAAGCCGAAGTAGAGAAATTAAAAGCGAGGGGTTGAAAACGTTTCCGTCACTCGCCGCGTGAACACGCAGTCGGCGTTTAACAAACGCGTGCACTCGGTCATTGAGCATCTTTTCAACTGGAGCAGCACCGCCACTGTACCACGCATGCCAAGTAGGCTCATAGTGGCCACCTGGTCTTCCGTTTGTCGCTGCCAAGGAGTTTTGCGATGCAGCGAATCGATCAATTTCAAAAGCGTTTTCAAATGCGCTGGCATTGAGACGCTAAAGGAAAATATCCATCCATGTCGTGGATTGTGGTGTGTTTTAATTTAGCTACTGTGTGTCATCCAAGAACCTCACAGGGAATTGTGAGCGTTGCAGCAAAGCTCATTTCAAGAGAAGCAAAAAAAATCAATTTATTGCTTCAGATTCACGCAAATGTATCGAGAATTGTCGCCAAACACTGCGCAATTCTGCGCCGGCAGTGGTGCACATGCAACACATTCATCGATAACATAGCCCTAGAGAGAAAAAAAAAACATGACGATTGGTAAGGTTTTGACGAATTGCCCTTCTGCAGAAAAAAAACGTGTTGAGTTTTTATTATTTGTGAAAGAGGCTTTGCACCTCATTTGAAGCTCTTTGGTCGGCAAAACCAACCATAATGCCGACTGCCAATAGCGGCACGCTCTGCCACGCTGTTGCCAACCAGGGGGAGCGCCGAGCGTGGGATTTAAATTAACCTGAGAGTCTGCAAAAAATCCCGGAGTGGGGTGAGAAAGCGCGAGCCAGACGGCGAGCAACGGCGGACGGCCACGCGTCTTGTGCGTTTCTCTTACCAGGGCAGTCAATAACATATCGAGAAGCGCCGCCACATTCTCCAACGTCGAAGGCCTCCTGAGGAAGGCCGTGGCCATCAAGCAGCAGCTCAACAAGGCCAGCTCGCGCACGTGAGTGGCCCGATAGGGGCCCGCCTTGCTTTGCACGTCGCCGCTGATGCCTCACTCTGTATGAAGGTCATGGGTTCCATCCCGACCCTGACGCCTGTATATTCTGAGTTTGCATGTTCTGGCTGTGAGCTATCATTTGTGGCCAGGTTTCTTCTGAAGAAGAGCAATATAGCTCATTGGACCTTACCTGGTAAAATAGAAAAAAATAGTTGAAATAGTTTAGTTTAATGTCACGATGTGAGAGAAACCGTCCCAACGACAGACGGTAACAAAATCAGAGGGACAAAATTTTATCATAGAGGAGGAGTGAAGCCACTGACGTGAACTGACATTTAGACCATGCCAAAGGTTCATCTCTCACCTCCCATTGATTCGACGAATTGTTGAGATTCGAGGTCAAAATACGATCACCGAGAGTTGATTATTTTTTGTCTCTATTCTTCTTCTTGCCGTCTCATTGCAATTCCTTTCTTACTCTTTGGTTCTTTCGGTAAAGTCACGTAGGTAGAAAATAATAGATCACGACATTTCGATCGCAACACAAGCGACCGTCATCAGGTGAGACAACCACAGCAGGGAAACTGCTGAAAAAATGATTCTCACCTGATGACGATTGCTTGTGTTGCGATCGAAACGTCGTGATCTTTATTTTCTACCTACGTGATGACTTTACCGAAAGAACCAAAGAGTATGGATTCCTGCAGTCACGAAAGCTTCAAATCCAGATCGCAATGCTTTCTCTCATATTTCATGCGGTTATGTACCGCTGCATGTTACAAACGTGCGTTTATCTTATACATTTGTAATAACGACTTGACACACTTCTCTTGAGATGGAACTTTATTGAAGACACGTTCACTTGACACCGGCAGAGACCCCCAATGCAGCAGCCCCGAGTCTCCCGCGCATCTCCAACACGAGGCCACGTCCCCCTTCTCCATCATTCTCGCTCCATCATTCAGACGCCCCCAACATTTAAGTCGGCCAGGTGGCCCCACAGCGTGATGCACCGAGTCATACGGATACAAAACCTGTTGTTCGATTCGTAGATTGTGTTGCGTGTGATTGGTTCATGTGACCCCTGCAGCCACTAGAGGTGCTACAGTTCAAAATCGTAAAATAAAAAAATCAAATCTTGCATTGAATCGCGACCCCCAAATCTTGACAATTCATCGAATTGCAAGGGGGGGGGGGGGGAGGAGGGAGGCTATCGTCACAACCCTGCGTAATATACCAAGGCCTAGATTGTCCACTTAGCCATGGCACCAACTCTCTACAGAACCCAGCTTGGAGGAGCCCTCAGCATGCTTTGCCACAATGAACCGGTCTGTGTACAAGCCTTGCACGTGTGTGTGTGTCTCCCTCTCCAGCTCCCTTCATACGCATTGTTTCCCAGATCCCTCACTTTCGTGATGAGAGAACAGAGCTACTCTGAGCTGAGCACGCAGGCGTAAGTCCAGCAGTAGCATCGCCTGTGACACTCCGAACCAACTGGGTTTTGATGACTATAGAGAAAACAGCAGTAGAGTGGTGGGGTGTTGCAGGGGCATGGCAGGTTAGACAAGCATCTTGGAATGAAATCAGTACTACGTTTATAACACCACACATTCTGGTCGCTGGTAGACTAAAGTAAGCGTGTAACTTAGAAGTCATCGCCACAGTGAGAGGTATGATGGCTGTGGCGTCCTGGGTGCGGAGATATTTCCTATGTCACAGACCTAGACAGACTTGACTGAAATTAAATCCAAATCCCATGACATTTCACGGCCTCAGAAACCTCCCACACTTCCAAATCTCAAATCCCCAGCAGCAGCATCATTATCAGCCAGGGTCTAGCCACTGCTCGATAAAGGCCATCATCACTCACGGTCTTGCGTTGCAAAAATTCCTCCAGCACCTGCGTACGAGCTGGTTTCATCACTCAGTCTCCGTGACAGATTACTTATCAGGGATACTCCCTTCTTTGAGTTGTCACTCTCTTGTTAGTATTGACCACCAGGCCTCATCCTTTCTATCGACCTGTTCTGCCTAGGCCCACTTACGTTAATGTTAATATGATGTCTCTAACTTGTGTATGTCCGCTAAATTCCTCTTTAAGTTTCATCCCAAGTGCACGCCTCTCCACGCATACGAACTCTATTTTTCTAAATCTGCACTGGCTAAAAACGAGCACGGGTGCTGGCTGGATTGACTTTGTTACAAATTGGTCGAGGCAGATTAATGGAGACGTTGCTCGAGAGCCCCACACTTGGAAACCTGCAGAGAGAGAGAGAAGAGCGGTGGTCCTTCATGCAGCTGGCTTGGCGGCGTGAGATGGCATCACCCGGGCAGAGCGCATGACACCGAGCCATTGAGCCATCTGCCCCGGCCCCCCCCCGTTATGAAAATACCGCTGACCTGCACCTTTGTTGTCGTCGTCCGCAGACTCGCAGACACGGCGTGCAATACGGGGGCAACGCTGCGACCGACGGGAACATTCTAACGGCCTGTGCTTGGCTTTAAATATGAGGGTGGGGCGCACGACGCGGTGACAGGAGAAGTTGTTTCTCCTCCCCTCCACCACCACCTCCCGTGGGGATAGCGTGAGGAGCCGTCATTGTCGGAGGGCACAAAAGACGCTGCCGCCACTTGGCTGGCTCGGACTTGTGGTGGTGTCGCAGCGACAATACGCGTCCAGCGTTAGGTCAACCCCGGACGATTTATGTTTTAGCTGCAGCAGCATGAATAGTAAAATAAACAATTCATGTAACCACAGGTGCTTTGAAATGTGTGCCTTGGTTTAATAATTTTACAATTTGAATTGACGCTTGTTATTTGGTGAAATGCAAATTTGCATCACGATTTTACTTGAATGGAGCGTTTGAAGACTCTCAAACGGCCACAAGCAGGGGACGTCTTAGCTGCTGGCACGTCCTCAGTACAATACCTTATCCAACACCGCTGCTGCGGAGTCCCGTGGAACCTCCAGATATTCCTGCCAGTCTTTACCACGCGCTCCCCATCTGTGCAGCGTCGTCCAGGGCAATCATTCAGACTCAAAACACAAAACGGACCGCTTGGCGCCTTGCACTGAAATTTACGCACCCGACGAGAGATGATGGAGTTCTACGTGGACGATTTCGAAAACTACGAACACTTGGGCCACTTCTACACGGAGGGGGATGTCGAGGGACCGGAGGGGGACCGAGCGGACGAGGGTGCGGACCGCAGGCATGGCCAGAACAGCGAATCGGAGAGCGACATCGACGTGCTTGACCCCGACCCAGTGGCTGGCGAGGGCGACGACGACCACAATGTCGTCCAGGAAGAGGCGGCGGCGGCCTTAGACATGTCCCAGGAGGGCTGCTGCGTCGAAGCCGAGAACCAGCAGAACCTGCGGTGGAGCCAGGGATTGTCCGATGTCCGCATCAGGGAGTTCTCCCAGAGCAGCGGGCCCCAGCACAGCCTGCCACTCGACGCCACGCCACTTGACTACTTCTTGCTGCTGTGGCCCGAGTCGCTGTTTGAGACGATCACCGAGGAGACGAACCGCTACGCCGAGCAGCGCATGGCCGCGGCGAAGAAGAAGGATCCCTACTGGGTGCCGACGGCCGTCAACGAGATCAAGGCGTTTTTCGCGCTCGCCATCATGATGGGCATCAAGAACCTGCCACGACTCTACTGCTACTGGGCGGGCAACGTGGCGTTGCGCTGCGACTGGATTTCGGGCACGATGTCTCACTCGCGCTACGTAAAGATCAACCAGTACCTGCACGTGCGCAACAACAAGAGCGTGCCGCGCGTCGACCGCCGCGATTACGACCCCATCTTCAAGGTGCGCAATGTGGTAGAGACGGTGCGGGAGAACTTCGGCAGGTACTACTACCCGCACTGCGAGGTCGCCGTGGATGAGGGCATGATTCCCTTCAAGGGGCGCCTCTTCTTCAAGCAGCACATGCCCGCCAAGCCCACCAAGTGGGGCGTCAAGGTGTGGGAGCTGTGCGAGTCCGAGACCGGCTACTGCCTCAACTTCGACATCTACACGGGCCGTAACCGCAAGGCAGGACCCACCCACGGGCTGGGCCACCAGGTGGTGATGAGCCTCACCCAGCCGTACTGGCACCGCAACCACCACGTCTACTTCGACCGCTTCTTCTCCTCGCCCCGGCTGCTCGAGGACATGCTCAAGTGCAGCCTCTACGGGTGCTCTACCATCAACATCAACCGCGTGGGCCTGCCCGACGAGGCCAAGCAGCTCAAGCTGAGGAACAAGGGGGACGTGGAGTTCTTTCAGAAGGGCAACCTGGTGCTGACCGTGTGGAGGGACAAGCGCGTGGTGGTGATGCTCACGAGCAACTCGGAGGGCAAGATGCTCACGCTGCCTGACGGGCGCCTCAAGCCCGACGCCATCATGAAGTACAACAAGTACATGGGCGGCGTGGACCGTTCCGACCAGTACCGCAGCTACTACCACGTGGGACGCACCTCCAAGAAGTGGTGGCGCTACATCATCTGGTTCCTCGTGAACCTGAGCATCGTGAACGCGTGGCTCCTCTACCGCGAGTCCAAGCACGACCCGCCGCCTCCCAAGGGCTACGACCACTTCCAGTTCCGCATCGAGCTTGCCGAGCAGCTCCGCGCCGGCTTCTCGGGCCGCTGCCAGACGAAGGGGCGCAAGCCAAAGCACGACCGCTCCGAGTGCTACGCTGAGGCCATTGGGGCGCACAAGCTGGTGAGGATCCCCAACAGGAAGCGCGTGTGCCGCGAGTGCTCGCAGAACGGCAGGAAGACGCGCTCGGGCAGGCAGATCCAGACGTCGTTCCGGTGCGGCATCTGTGACCTGCCGCTGTGCCGTGCGCGCTGCTTCAGGGAGTACCACAAGAGCATCGCCGCTGACGCCGCCATCGTGGAGGACGTGGGGGGAGAAGACAAGGAGGATGAGGAGGATGAAGAACGGGAGGAGGGGGGTGAAGGGGAGGTGGAGGAAGCCGATGTCGAAATCGTGTCGGTCAATGGGCCGAATGTGGCGAGCGCGGCTTGCCTGGGGGACCAAGAGGTGAGTCAATCTCCTGCGCCACGGGAACCGAGTTTTAGCGCAGAGGCGAGCAGCACCAGCGAAGCAGCGGAGGTGGCAGGCGACAGGAGGGAGGTGGGTGTAGGGACTCAGGAGCCGTCGCTGGTGGATCCTCAAAGCCAGGCCAGTGCTCAGCCAGCTAACCCGGTGTGCAGCGGCTCCACGGAGGGGGTCTCGGGGGTGGCGGTCTGCGGCACCAGCACGGAGGACGACGACTTGGTGATCATCGTGGAGTCCAGCACGCCACCGCCCGTCTTGCCAAACTTCCAAGAAAAGCGGGCCATAGTCAAAATCAAAACGAGGAAGAGGCAAAGGAAGGCCAAATCGAAATCTGGCCCAATGACTAAGAAGGACGTGTCCACGAGTACCTCGGTGGATGCGTCAGAGGGCATCCTCACGAGAGGTACCGGGCAAGCAACGTCGGCGCCGGCAGGTCCAGACGGCAGAGACAGCAGCGCAGAGGCAGCCGCCAGGGCCAACGAGATCATCGTTATCGACCTCACGGATGAAGAGGAAGAGAGCGATTCACTTCAACAACAACTGCTTCCACCAGCTCATCCGCTGGTGCCTGCTTCCAAATGCAAGAAGAAGAAGAAGAAGCGCCCCAAAAAGCGACGATCCAAAAACAGAAATGCCGGGGAACACAAAAAAAAAGCCACAGACTCGTCAACAAAAAAAAGAAAAACAGCCATTAAGGAAAAGGTTGCCGTCAGCAGTCAGAGAAAAGGCGCTCCCCGAGCCTGCAAGGCGGCGGGCATTGGCGTCTATCAGGACAAGGTGAACTGTTCTGGTAGGAGTACACCCAGGGCCCACAAACAAGCGCCCGATGCTGTGATAATCGACCTCACTGGTGAAGATGAAGTCGCGCCAGAGAGCTCGGTGGACATGGCAGACTCCACACTCCCTTTGGCTCGTCTGGGAGACACCGATGGTGCGCAGGTCATGATGGAGGCGGCAGACAAACGAAAGGAGAACAACATCCCAGTGGCGGTGGATGGGGACGTGTCGCCGAAGGAGGAACCGGCGGATCAATCACTGAGCAAAGGCGTCCCGAGCGCAGTTTGTCATCAGCCTCAGGAGGATGTCACTCGTGGTGAAGACGAGAGCGAGGCTGTGGTCTGTTTGATAAGCGATGATGCGATCCCATTGGGTGGTGCTGGTCACGTGTACCCACAGCAAAGGCACGTGACATCTGCTGCTCTGAGAGCTGATGAGGACCCCACGAGGCAGGCAGAAGGAACCGCGGCCACCGACTTCAACATAAAAGCGGAAAGAGGAGACGTGGGCACGGCAACAGCATTCCATCCTGAAAATGCCTCCGCTGAAATGGAGAGAACAAAGATGGTGCTGCGTGAAGGCTCGGGCGATAAAAGCGCAGATGAAGACGTGAACACTCATCGCCCCGAAGAGGCCGTTGTGAAAGATGTTGCGAAAGATGGGGCTCCACAGAAGTCTGGTGAAGAAATCACGGTGCCTCAACCGACTGCAAAACTTGAAAAGACTGACGCGCGCACACCGGCCAGTGACCTCCTGCATAGTCCACCGACTGTCCTCGTCCCAGGGGTTGACGTCACTGGGACTGTCGCCATCAATCCAACAGAGGACCCGGTGTTGGTGAGTATTGGCGGCACCCTCTTGTCCGTAGCAGGAAGCAGACGTGACATCTCCAAAGACACAACCCGAGAGCATGCGGAACAGAGCCAAATGGCCCGCCCCACAGAGAGCAATAATCCTCATCGAGGTGCTGACCCTAAAGGTGCGACGGATGAAAGCGACATTGTGGACAGATGCCGGCTGATGACATCCACGCAGTGCGAAGCTTCAGCCCGAGCTGACGTCGGCGATGGGCGCGTGCGTGATACAAGACTCTGTGAAACGCAAAGTCGGCAGGGAAAGCGCGCACCGTGCAATGCCGCTGAAGAAACTGCAAGTGCCAAGGACGTTGGCAATATCGGTGACCTAACGTCATCGTCATGCTCAACGTCATCGTCAACATCGCTGCCATCATCGTCCTCGTTCATTGATGTTATCAGCACAACCACTACGTGGACACCATCAGGCATCCAAAATATTAGCGATCGAATGGGCACCGCTAATCTTTGGCGAACCACCCATACGCACACGCAGAACTGCGTCTGCTTTAACCCGAGGGCCTTGGATGACTCGGTCGAAGTGGCCACAGATTCAAACCAGGAGGAGCACAAAATCACAGGGGTCTCGGAAAATGATGTAATGACTGATGCAGACCAACCGAAGAAACCCACTGCTCCTGAGAAAGATAAACCCCACTATATCGATGAATATATTGAAACATTAAGCCCCATGAAAATTGACAATGAAGTTATATTATCACCTATCGAAACTATGCGTAGCACAAATGCAACTGTATCGTCAGGACACTGTACTAAAACGACACATTTAAATCAATCCCACGGTGAATGGAAAGAGTACAGTAATGTCACAGTTGATGACATTTTGAGCAACTTGAGGGGCAAGGTAAATAAGACCGGCAATGCGTCAGACACGAATGACACAGCTCACGCGGGCACGGGAACGGCTTCCGTTGGTAACTGGTCACGTGGAGGTGACACCGATGTAAGTTCACAGGTTTCTGACAAGGAGGAAATATGGCGGATCGATAAACAACACATTGACAAACCAAGCCCCACTGATGTTGACAATAAAGTGACCTCGTCACAGGGCAGTAATGTTGATCTCGTCAAAACCGTGCATACAATGAAACCACCGCACGATGAAACCAAACTTGATATGACTCCCATATATATTGATGATGATGATGACGACGAGACCGTGTCATCGCCATTTACTGACACGACTGTAATACCCGTGAATAAAGGGAATGCGAAAAACGCGGCCAACACCACTGGCAGTGCTGTCCGCAAAGGCTGCGCAACAGATGCTGGGGAATCTGAGAAGCACAAATGTCCTCAGCGTAACATTCCTGGATATCAGGAATCGGCCACTGACGGTCAAGACCCCAACACCCGGGGAGCAAAGCGCTCTTACAACGTACGCGAGGAAGACGTGGGCGTGATCTATATCGACGACGATGATGATGACGATAATTCATCTGTATCGTTTGCAGAAGTGAGCTCTTCAAAAAGGATTGACAATGCCGCAACAGGTGAAACGGGCCAGGATGAATCTCGGAAACTCTTCCATATGCACAACGGAGACACTGACTGCCGGAACCGGAAAGGTCGAGAAATTAATGTAGATAAATTAGTGAACACGAGGAAAGGTGTCAATCCACAGATAGAGGTCAGTGACCGTGCCGAATCATGTGACATTCGAAGAGAAAAACACCCACGTCTTGATGACACAATTCAAATCGGTGAAACCGGTAAAGATGCTCTGGTAGCACAGGACAGGGCTGATGATGATGCACTTGCCCCAGACATGGATAACCATGATGATGCACCACCTGATCCATCATCGGCCAGTGACGTTAACATCGCAGCCAGTGCAGAAATGAGACGTGTCAGTGAGACTGCAGATGGGATGGGTGCTGGCGAAATTCAGAGATTTGACAACACAATCACCATTGAGGGTGTTATAGATGCAGGGGATGAAACTTCTGAAAGTCCTGATGAAGGTGACGCTGGAGAACACCGAATAATGGACAATAACGCTCAAAGGGTTGGAACGCAGGAAGAAAATCATAGACTTTTTGATGAAGCTGCCGTTAATATGTTTTCATCATCATCATCAGTTATCAACATTAGCACCATGCCCACGACTACATCATGTATTGCTCCCAGTGCAGCAGATGATAAGGGCTCTGAAAATGTTAGAAAGTCCACCAACGCCGACATAACGAACATCTGTAATGCACAAAATAAGACAAACACAACTCGCGCAGGAGCATACCAGAAGGACCAAGCATCATCAGGGATCGTGGAAGACACACAAATATCCATCGCCCGTTACAGTGCAGGACGCCCACAGCCCAAGAGTGCTGTTTTATCACCATCATCGTTATCATCGTCGCTTATCGATATTAGTTCCACTTCCACTATCGATTCAACAATGATGACGCGAATGACGGATGACAGAGGTGCTGGCTATTTTCGTAAAACTGGAAGTGCTACGACAGGAGGCAGGTGTCACGATGCGAAGGACGCGCAAAACACGATGGCGAGAGCTGCACACAGCACTGGGCAGGGCCGTGCGAGTTCCGGACTCGCTGATGACACGACGCGACCAGAAAGCGACAATGATGGCGTTCAGGTGAGCAGAACCAGAGAGGAACATTCGCATCACCGTAGAGACGAGGAGACGCCTGTCAGTCCTACGGAGGGCAATAGGGACGAAGATTCCTCACTACTTTCCGCAACTGAGATCAGTGTTGACTCCGCAAATAAATCAAAACATGTCCGCGGCCGTGCATTCGAGGAGGACGTTGGTGACAAATGGAAGAAGACCGGCGCAATCACGGATGAAACTCGCTTCGCTGTAATGGGCGCGACCATTGGGGTTGACAAAGCCGTGGACTCCAACTTGTGGGGTCGTGGGATTTCGATGAACGCCAGAGCAGCTGAAGATGACAGCCCTAGGCAAGTGGTCACGGCCTCCGAGTTGTGTAGAGATGCGGGGCGGCATGGTAGCACGGTGTTCGGTGGAGACTCGCCCTCACCGGATGGGGATAAAAATACGCGTGATGGCAGCTCGCCCGAACAAGAGAGGATGTGCCCCTCCGTGAGAGCAGAACCTGGTGGGGTACTCGAAGAACGCGCAGCTCTGGCACGGTGCGGAAGATCCCACCCGCAGGAATCGAGAGAAGGTCGCACGCGAGAACACCGTCCTAAAAAAACGGACAAAGCCACCGCTACGGCAGACGGCACAGTTGGAAACATTGCGAAACCCTCCGACGGCACAGAAAAACCAATCGTCCATTCCACCGACTTTCATGAGAGCTCACTAAACCCTTGCAACAGCGAGTGCAGAAGATGGAAACTCGCTTCGTGTGTACATGAGCCACGCGTGGAGCCCGGCATCGGTAAAGAATGCGTTGAAGGGGTCACAAAAAGGGCCACAGCTGACGGAATAACAGAGAACTGTGATATCAAAATTGTGCATCCGGCAGATGATGAGATTCGTAGGAGGCAAAGTGCCATCAATGCACTAAATGCGTGCGATCTTGGATCACCAGATACAGGAGCGATATCCACCCAGTGGGAAGGGCACGGACAGGAAATTTCCCACAAGCTACTCAGCATACAAGACGACAGCCGTGGTCTTGAACAAGACTCCAACTCCGCACCTACCAGCGGATGCCATACCCATGTTGTCAGTGAGCCCATGGACACAAACGAGGGCATCTGCTGCAGGAAGGATAGCAGAGAGAAGCCGAAGCTCTGCATCGACACCCGTGCTTGGAGACCAGATGGAAGACGGGAGCGCGGTCCATCTGCCAGTGCTGCCCACGTTGGACCGAATAAAAGCGCTCACATCTCTGATGACCATTCGGCTTTGCCAAAGAGTGCGGTGTGCAGCTTAAATGAGGCTGCCACGACCGTGGAAGCAGCAGGAGGTGGCGATGCCACAGCCAGCGGTCGTGATGACGATGGAAATGTCAATGCAGCGGTAACGATAGTGGGTCGTTTGGTCTGCCCGCATTTGTGGGATCCTACACCATCGACCAGCGTGCTCAACCGGAGTCACAAGAGTAGATTTCAGCAACGTGGCATCAAGCGACCAGCGACTGAGAACGAATGCATGGACCCGTGTGAAACACAGAGTGACGCGACTACAGCGGCGGAAGTGGCATGGCCAGGCGAGGCCGCCTTCACGGTGCCGAGCGACGCTAAGAGGGCCCGTATCAGAGAAGAGCAGCCGCAGCCTGACCAAGAGGTCCAAGACGCCGGGTCTGTCGCAGGATGCGGTGACGATGAAGCCATCTCTCCGTTCAAAATCATCGCACCACAAGCGGACCCAGACCTCCTCCGCGCTTTTAATTCACCGCCGAGCCGTTTGGTCTTGTCCTCCAAACTCGACTTTCCGGCAGAGGCAACGTTGGCGCAACTGATCGGTCAGCAGCGTTCGTCACGTCCAGGTACGAGTGTGGACGAGCCGTCGTGTTTGACATTGAGCGGCGTCGCAACGCGGTCACTTGGGGACGATTTGGAGATGGGCGCCGATGCCAAGCCAAGCAAGGGCATCCAGGACTCTCTCCTGACTGCAAGCAGCTTTGCAAGTTGTGGATCGACCAGCATCAGCCCGCGAGCCGAGCCGAGCGGCGCCAGGAGAGGCCGTTTAGTGGTGGAGAGTATGGACAGCAGCGTGGGCTCGTCTCGAGGCAGCGCTTTCTGCTTGGCCCTGGTCACGGGCTCTACGAAAGACGACGTCTGCCCGTCACAAGAACGCCACGATCCTGAGCCGTCCGTGAACAGCAGCCCGAGTGAAGGAACCAGAGGATGCAATGAGCAACATTACACGTGGATGGCGGAGGACAATGCAGGCGATGTTGAAGCACCAGGACGCAACGATGAAGAGCTAGGAGGTAATGATGAAGCACCAGGAAGCAACGATGAAGGGCTAGGAGGTAATGATGAAGCACCAGGAAGCAACGATGAAGCACCAGGAAGCAACGATAAAGCACCAGGAAGCAACGATGAAGCATCGGGATGCAATGATGAAGCACAAGTAAGCAACGATGAAGCGCCAGGAAGCAATGATGAAGTGCTAGGAGGTAATGATGAAGTGCTAGGAGTCAATTATGAAGCACCAGGAAGCAACGATGAAGCACCAGGAAGCAACGATGAAGCACCAGGAAGCAACGATGAAGTGCTAGGAGGTAATGATGAAGCAATAGGAAGCAATTATGAACTGCTAGAAAGTAATAATGAAGCACCAGGAGACAATGATGAAGCACCAGGAAGCAACGATGAAACACGAAGAGACAATATTAAAGCGCTAGGAGGTGATAATGAAGCAATAGGAAGCAACGGTGAAGCATTGGGAAGCAATGATGAAGCACTGGGAAGCAACGATGAAGCACTGGGAAGCAACGATGAAGCACTGGGAAGCAACGATGAAGCACTAAGAGGTAGTGATGAAGCACCAGTAAGCAACGATGAAGCGCCAGGAAGCAATGATGAAGTGCTAGGAGGTAATGATGAAGTGCTAGGAGTCAATGATGAAGCACCAGGAAGCAACGATGAAGCACCAGGAAGCAACGATGAAGCACCAGGAAGCAACGATGAAGTGCTAGGAGGTAATGATGAAGCAATAGGAAGCAATAATGAAGCAATAGGAAGCAATTATGAACTGCTAGAAAGTAATAATGAAGCACCAGGAGACAATGATGAAGCACCAGGAAGCAACGATGAAACACGAAGAGACAATATTAAAGCGTTAGGTGATAATGAAGCAATAGGAAGCAACGGTGAAGCATTGGGAAGCAATGATGAAGCACTGGGAAGCAACGATGAAGCACTGGGAAGCAACGATGAAGCACTGGGAAGCAACGATGAAGCACTAAGAGGTAGTGATGAAGCACTGGGAAGCAACGATGAAGCGCTGGGAAGCAACGATGAAGCACTGGGAAGCAACGATGAAGCACTAAGAGGTAGTGATGAAGCACTGGGAAGCAACGATGAAGCGCTGGGATGCAACGATGAAGCACTGGGAAGCAACGACGAAGCACTGGGAAGCGACGATGAAGCACTGGGCAGCAACGATGAAGCACTGGGAGGTAGTGATGAAGCACTGGGAAGCAACGATGAAGCACTGGGAAGGAACGATGAAGCGCTAGGAGGTAGAGAGGAAGCACTAGGAAGCAACGATGAATCCTTGGGAAGCAACGACGAAGCACTAGGAGGTAGAGAGGAAGCAATGGGAAGCAACGACGAAGCACTAGGAGGTAGAAAGGAAGCACTGGGAAGCAACGACGAAGCGCTGGGAAGCAACGACGAAGCACTGGGAAGCAACGACGAAGCACTGGGAAGCAACGACGAAGCACGAGATGCCACAGAAGTCGTTGCTGGTGAGCGAGCATCATCCGCGAGCGATGAATCCCGTAAGGAGCAGGTGGTGCTAAGACGAGCATCGAGCGGCGAGCCCGAAGCACTCCACGTGTCGGTCATCGCGGCCCACAGCTTGCCAAGGAGGAGCGCTCACTTCACAAGCGGAGGCAGCGAAGGTGGCAACGAAGAAGCCAAGGACGGGACGGACAGAGGGGATGCGTCAGATGTCACGAACGTATCGACGCGAGTGAGTGGTGGTGGTAACACGGTGGGGGACATGGCCCGTCACGCGGGCTGGGCTGAACACCGCCACCCCGGTGCGGGCTCCACCGGCGGTGGTGTGTGCGGCTCCAAGGTTGACGACGCTGAAGACGACGACGCTGACGACGCTGACGACGACGAAGACTACGACGACGCTCGCTTCGGCAAACGCGTGAGAGATGAGCCATCGCCGCCTGGCCAGGCAAAGGAACTCGCCGAACTCGCACACGCTTCCGCGCCGTTAAGCACGGCGACGAACGCCACTTCCAAGGCGAGGGTCGCCATCGAGGGGGTAGATCGAACGGACACGAAGAGCCTCGGCACGACCACCACGACCACGACACCAACGGACGAGCTCGCTTGCGCGTACGAGGACACCACGGAGAAATATCGGTGCGAGGTCACGAGCCGCGACGTTCGAGAAACCGCGAATTCTGCGATTGCGACGGCTTGTGCCAGAGGGTTCCTCGAGAGAAGCTCCGAGCCGTGCGTGGACGTCCAAAGAGACTTTCGCTGCGTCGAAGACGGCGTAACACCTCCACCACCGCCACCAGGCTGCGGCTGCGGCGGCGACACGAGGGCAGCGCGTGGTGGCGGCACTAGGAAAAGGGCGCTCGAGGAGGAGGAAGAAGAAGACGGGATCATCCTGTCGAGTGGATTTTCCAATGTGGCCAACGAGGCGCGGTCAGGAAGGACGTGCCGCCGCCGCCTCTCGGCCGAGGAGGTCGCCGCACCACTGGGGAGCCCGGCGAGGAAGCTGCGGGTGCTGGAGGCAGCGGCTGCTGGGGTGAGTCCACAGGCGAGGGCAGCAGGGCAGGAGGGGCAGTAAAAGGGAAGCGGCACTCACTCACCTCCCAACTGCAGGCCGAGACGGCGGTGTATTTGTTACCAAGGGGCATTCGTTTTTGAAAACATTAAATAATTTGCCCGAGTTACTCGAAAATGTGGATAATGTTGGTTGGGGTAGAATTAAGGATCACATTTGGGCTTCGGCCATTTGACAAGATTGAGGAATAGGGTTGGAGTCAAGGATAAGGTAAGGATCAGAAAGTTGGTCATGGTTAGGATTAGGGTTGAAATTTGGGATTTTATTTGGATCAATGCTTTAAGTTTAGCACACACGTTTGTATGTTTACCGTTGACATCACCGCTGCACCTTTTCAATGATACGTCGACATTTAGGGTATGGGACATTCGGCTGGAGAAACTAGTCCTCGTCTTGATACGTGGGTGTGACGTGGGACGAGGACAGACCCATCAGACTTGAGCAAACACAATCCTGGCGGCTTGCAGGACGAGGTGGAGTTCGTCTCGAGCATCATCCCTTGGACGAGCTTGCAATGCTTACTAAACCCCCACCAGTCTTCACGTACACATCGAAGGCACGGCGCGCGGCATGGCCAAGGCTCGAGACGCAGCCATGCGGTGTCTTTTTCAGGTTCACGCACGACCCTTGGCTGCAACTCCCACCCATCTCCGCCGCATGCGCTCCATGCAGTTTCCATGCGGAAACAGCGTAGGTGACATTCGAGTCACTGGCTCACCCCCCGAGATAAATCAACCATGGCAGCGTCTCAATGTGACACATGACGCATCCTGGGAAACTTCTCCATGCACACGCTGCCACGGTCTCCATTGCTGTTGTCAGTCGCTTAAAATTACCCTTTGGGTAACCAGCGTCCAATAAACTCGATTGCAGTGACACAGCAGGACGGAATGGTGAAATGTGTATTGCACTAAGCTTCCACCACACAAACTCCTTGCTTAAAGAAGTTTCACCATGCAATACTTACACGTTCGGTCGTGCCACGATTTATAACGCCAACTCATTCCTTGTTACATATTGTGAACGATATTTTTGGAAAAAGTACGTGTGCAACTTGAGAAACATTTGGTTTTTTTACTGTGTAGCCTGTATGGTGAGTGCAGTCAGTGTTAAGCATCGGTGTTTTGGAAAATCTTAATCCACTTATCCTCCCAGGCCCTCTCCATTCTATGCCATGCGAGTCAAATATTCCGCTGTTACACGGTGAATAGACTGGACTCGGTCCATACAAAAGCTGCCACAATGTTCTTGCTTCCGTTAACCTTCGCTCTTAAAAGTTATTGCAACCTTTTCCCAAAGCTATTCATGTCTACCAACATTACTTCCTCCTTCGACGATCGAGGCCAGACATCAAATCTACAAATAATAGGAATTGGTACTGCACACGTGTTTGAGCCGTGTTGTATATCCTTTCTGAAGTGTTTTCAGGTTGTGCCACGTTAATGTCCGACATGTTGCACCACGTACTCAGGCTCCCAGTTCCTGAAGCTCTTAGCTTATGGGAGCGAAACGTTGGCACACCATGCCAAACACGCGGCACAAGAAAATGCATCAGAGAAATATATACAGACATTAGTGACTTGCACTGGGTCGTTGTGACCTTGGGAAGTATTGGCGTGTAATGGAGGGGCCTTGAGGTGTGGAGTTGATAACTTGTGTCAAGTGGCCGAAATCTTGTCGTCTGACTCGTCTCCAATCCCTGTGGTTTTGGTCGGAGCAATGGAATTAACGAAGTGATCGCGTTGTTAACGTTATAGAAAGCAGTTTTTGTGATCGTGCGAAAATGTGGCCGTGGTTAATGGAGGGAATCACAAGATCACCAGCGTCTACTGCTGTTCGGTGTCTTCTAGAACCTCGTGGTGCCTGCCTGGTCGCGGATGTTTGGAATAAAATGGGTGCGGGAGGCGTCAATGAACGCCAACTTGAGTTGGTGTTCATAACGCACTTTAAACACACTTACAATTAGCCACCCAAATGGGTTTCTGTGCAGTGGCAGATGTGGCCTCGGCCACATTTAAAACCACTGTAAACCCCAGGGTGCTTGGGAGTGGTGGTGACATGGAGTTAAACCAGAGAAGGATTAACCACAATTTGTTTCGAAGCGAGGGATTTGTTAGTCTAATAGCCATTTCGTATATACAAAAAAATAATTTAACAGCTTAAGTACTAAATATTGTAGCAACATAAGACAAGCGAGTAATGAAGGTATGCATTTGATTTGTGACGTAGGATGTTTATACATTTTTACTTGGTAATCTTGGTCCACATGTCCCAAGAAAACAACAAAAACAGTAGCTTTTGTTGAACATCGCGCACAATAAACTCAACTGGCACGCTGTTTGCAGGAACTCTGCAACTTGATGTTTTTGACAGATGGGCGGTATAAGCGTCTTAAGAGCCGGATATTAAGAGTAGATGAAACGATGCACTTATTAATTATTCAACACAATCATAGGAAAATGCACTTAGAAATAGAATGGCCTTTAAATTAGCCCAAATGAAAGTTGCCGACATTGTAGCATCTCGCCCTCAAGTGTTTTATTTTGCCCCTCGTCAGCCTCTCACCAACCAGGTGAGCCCACCAGTCAACCACAGTATCTTACCAAGTTGTCCATGCATCAGCTCGAGCGTACTGTTCACGATCCGATGATGCTCGGAGCAAGGCTGCTCCAACTCCAGCCCTCGTTTTGATCAATTAACGGATGGACCACTGCATCATTGTTGTCATGATTCACAACCGAGCGGAGATAAGCAAACGATTTATACAATTGTATTTGATAACAAATGGTATTCCAACTGCTATGTAAGTCATAACATCAGAAGTCTTCAAGAACAAAGCGAAACACGATTCATTGCAGAGAAAACTGCTCAATCGAAACCCTATTCCAGGTAGTATAAATTGCAGGGCATTTACCAATGAACAGCAAATACCCCAAAAGCAACCGATATTCGGACGAATATTCCCTACATATCTTCAGGAAGTAGCGAGATGTTAACTACCTCGCCTGGTATAGAGGATTGTGGGTTCGATCCCAACCCCAACGCCTGTATATTTGGAGTTTGCATGTTCTCCACGTGGTCGAGTGTATTTTTCTCCGGGTTCCCCTGGTTTTTCTCTCCACATTTATAAACACGTGTTTAAAGAGTATTTGGCTGCTATAAATTTCCACATAAGCCACTTCGTTGAGCTCTCAATTGTGGCAAGGTAGCTTCTGAAAAAAGATATAGATCAGTGGACCTTACCTGGTAAAATAAAAATGGTAAAAGTAAAATAGTAATCTTACGGGAAATGCAACAAATCCACATCCTCTTACTGGCAGCCGAGAAGGCACGTACTGTCTGCCTACCAATACATTTTTATGAATTTCCATGCTCCGGGGTCGTGATTTGATTGACTAATCAATGTCTTTGTCTCATGTTGACTGTGGTATTTGCACCATTGGTCTCTTTGGTACGAATTTGCTTGCTCCTTTCGTCTAAATGTAAAAGCAGATAATTTTCATATAATAGCATACACCGTAAACAATCAATTCTTACACCCGCGATTTGAATAATTTCAGTCAATCGTTACACGCCTACATCAGCATCTTCGCGGGAGGATGGTGACGATACCTCGGTATGATTTCGTATGACCTATGGCGGGCTTCAGTTCCAAGACATTTATCAATTAAATTGCTTTCAAAGTTTGTGAATTGCAGACACACCACCTTGACATTTTTATTTGTGGCAGTTCAAAATTGTATGGTACGTGGTTTGGTGTTCTTAGCCGTAGTCGCACAAAGGAGTCTTTTCCACGGTTATGATTTCCTGTGTCCCATTGGTGGCTTTCCCTGACCCAGGTACCATCATTACACTTATGCTCTTTTAAAGTGACGATTTGCCATGTGCCATATGTCCGAGTAAGGCCCTCGGAGCTGAGCCAAGACAAATTCGACACAGAACCTTTATTTTAGCAAATTACTGCACGAGACGTGTTGTACAAGCACAGACTGAAAACACCTCATGACCGATGTTAACACTGCCTAAATCCACGCAAGCTAACCGTCTGGCCGATTAACTTTTATACAGAGCAGAAAGGGCCCATGTAATATTTTGACTTGTACTTGAACAGACATTTTACATTGTGGTGCCTTGAAAGTCAAAATATTCTAGACATCCTTTGTTACTGCGGTGTAGCGCAGTAATTGGTGACCAGGGAAAAGCCATCGCCTTTAGAGAACCTGGTCCGCCTCGGCGGATGAAATAACAATGTCGCCAGTGCCAGCTCGGTGTTCTTCACGGTCCTGAGGCATCCACCGAGCACCGAGGCCACTCCAGGACTGCCATTTGAGAAGCCCCGTTTCATCACCTGTCATATTCAAGGCATGTTTCACGTCAACGCCAGCGCATACTGTTAACAGTGCAAGCTCTAATAATAATAATAGGGGTTTTCCCCAGAAAAAAAGGGAAAAACTCTATTATTATATTTTGGTACTGGCAAAGGAGGTCCAATGATGTCGTGAGTAGTGTTGGTGTGAAGTAAAACGTGTGTTAATGTTACTCCACGAGCGTATTGTGCACAAAAAACCCTGACCCAATGTGAGGCGATTTTACAAGATTCGAGTCGGATCTGTGTTTGTCTTGATACAATAAAAACCTTTCATTCATTCACTTTCCGTCAATTTAAAACGCATAACATTTGTTGAGCATTTACAAATGTGTTTTTTTACGTCAAAGCTTACGATTTAATCCATGTGCAGGCCATACAATAGAAAACAGAAGCTCTTCAGCTCAAACAAAATGCCATGAGCAAAAAGCTACGTGGGATGCACACAATGTAGTGGCGATAAACATTTACCTGAAGACCTATCGACATCGTTACACTTTACGTTACACCACCAGCTCAACTAAACCATCCCCACTGTTATTACAGCTCGCAGTGTATGGGCATCGTAGCTCAGCCAATTAGAACCCGATGAGCTATCAAGCTCTTTCTCACTGATTTCCTAAGGGCAGGCCAAAACCAGGGAGGATTTCCAGTCGCTGTCAAGCTGCATGCATTTGCTGCACATGTTTACGCTCAAGGTAACGTTGATGCAGACTGGCCTATAGTTTTGTATAGCTACAGTATATTTATGGCAACAAAAGAGAAACATCGAAATAGTTATTACGACCAGTGATCATTACTAGTCATAGGTCTATCCACTGCTGGATGCAAGCCTCGCCGCACACCGTTGTCATCCCACAAGTTTGCCAAGCCACAATCCATCTGCACGAGCTGCTCTTATCACCCACATACGTAGTCGTAGTAGATTCTCCGCAGTGCGTGAATTACATATGTTCGTGGGGCCTTCTCGAAATCCAGTCGCTTGCACACCACCATGGTCCACCTTTCCACGTTCAACAATCTACTCCATTCAAATACTTATTGAAAGCTTTGCACACTGCAGCACGCATCTCGGGATTTGTAAAAATTAAATTCTGGAAATCCCAGGGACGAGGTTCCACGAACCAAACACGATCGGGGTGAGCAGCGCAATCGGAATAGGACAAAGTGGAGTAGGAAGCTGCCTCTTAACATTCACTCTGCTCAGCACCACTAAGCCCCGAATCGTCTAAACATTGGGCAGTTGCAATGCACTTGCCGACAATATTTCAGGATATTAAACTGGCACCGTGAAAATTAGTCGGCCACCAGTGAGGGATTTTTTTTGGTCAGAATTTGATCAATGCATCGGTGCATTGAAATAGCATCCTTTGCAAATATTGACAATTATGTCGGGTAGCGGATGGATTAATTTGAATGTTGGCATAAAACTACGTCGCCAAACTAATAAACAAATACGGATCGTTGATTTGTCTACAAAAAAAAACCTACGTTTTAAGGTACCCCAGGATAAAGTAATTTTTTTGGAGGTGCATTAGTTGACCAGAATTGTTTTTAGATCCGCACAAGCTACACAGCTAAAATTGGTGTTAATCTCGACTTAAATTGGTAAATGTAATCGGTTCCATATTGGCCAATGAGTTTGTGGTCATGTGCAACAGAACAAATTTGAAATATTTACTGCAAGGACTAAATATCGAAGGGGGGGGGGGGGGCAATGCACCGGCACAGCATGCATGTCACGGTAAAAATGGTAGTGATGTTTAGATTCGGAGATGCGTTTAAATTTCCACATTTACCTTTTATTTATATGTTTATTGTTACAACATGTGGAAGGGGGAAAAACCACATAGGTACTTATTTTGCACAATTTGGCAAACAGAGAAATAAGGATTTGTACACGAATATATAAATAGCAATGTATAAATAATAATAATAATACATGAGTATATTAAGTGTAAACGTCTGCATATACCTATTGCAAAGGATAGTGTTGGGCACTCAAATGGAGCAGCCAGAACGTGGCAGTGTTGAGTGCTACTCTTCATAAACACGGGTTTTCTCAAGGTATTACTTTTCCCGTCAAACAAGCTACTCATTTTTGGGATTGGCCAAATATCCCAAAACAGGACCCTCACAAAAACATAACCCCAGGGTTTTTAGCGATGCTTCTCTCCCGAGGGAATACATGGCACGCTGTACACGTGTGCACTGATTTGTCTGTCACGGGCCACAGTTGACGAGATTCAACTCCTGTGTGTGAACACAGTCAGCCCTCATCAATCCTCCACTCCGTGTGCTGCCAGCCACATCGGAACTATATTCTGCAAAGAAAATACTATTTGACTTGCGTCAACGCTGTATATAAAATTACGTCGGTATACATTTCAACGTTAATACTGATACCAATTGAGAAATAATATATCTAACCGTGCAATTAATAACATTTAAAAAACTCTCAAACTTTAAACAAATCTTCCTTGATAACGGGAGTCAAAATATTAAGCATCACAATAATTATTGTAATATTGATATTAACTAATATTAAATGTAATTGCTGACCTTTGTGAAATTTTCATGGACGCTTCAAGGGTTGGAGCTTAAGTCACCATAGTTTGTATGCCTTTAGAGACGTGCAGAAAGTGCTATGGAACACATAACATTGCCATCAGGCTTCAAAGAATCAGTCCACAAAATGTGTGTGGAGACACACACACACGGAGGGGTGGAGAGGGGGGGTCCTCCTTCACCAGTTTTCAAGCATTGTTCATGAAGGCATCAAATGTGGGCCAGGGAAGACTCCTTTGGAATTGTGGGAACCGTCTTGTAACTCATTAAAGTCCCAGATCTGCCTAAGTGATTTTGGAAGTGAATCTATGGAATGCATGGCCCAAATGCTCACCTAAGAATAACCCTCTTTGGAATATTTAGAGAGCGCTTAGGGATCATTTTCACAATGTCTCTTTCAAAAATGCTTGCGACTTAAGCGGGCATGGACATAACAGAACAAGAATGGACTTTTGTCAGCACCATTCAGCAGTTCCGTCCAGGGTCTCAACTGGGCAACCCGAGTGACCTACTTGTCACATCACCTCAAGTTATGCTCATTAACCAGGGGAAGGTAACAATGTATTTACGGCAGTCTTCAGATATGGGGTACTATTTAAGAGACCAACTTTTTACCTCCATTCGCAGGCACCCGGCGTAGAGGAACTTGGTGATGGGAACGGGTCTTTAACTAAACCCCAGACATGCTTGCTCCTCCCTCTCCTGCTGTAGGCAAATTGTTTGCTGGTCGACATGGCTCTACAGCCGTCTTGTGCTCATGAACATGTGGCTGCAGCCAGAGCTAAATGCTACCAGAGGCCACAGCCTCACTGAATATCCACACAAAATGGGACTGGTGCTGGCACAGGTGCTCCGTGGGCTAAGGCAAAAAGCCGAGCGCTTTGTGAAAAACATTTTTTAGAGTGTGCAGCACGTGCTAATACAAGGCGATCGGCAGAACCGCACTTCCTCTCGTGTCCCAAGTTTTTCAAACGTATCTTTGTGGCAACCGATCGGTCGAGACGCAGGACATCATACCAGGGGACACCAACCACGTCAATCCAAGCAGTCTTGTCGCCCATCGTGCAGACACCGACCTGAAGGAGATTACTAACGCGGCTACGGCTTTCGCGCGGACAGGTGCGCACTTCACAACCCTGGCAAGGGATGAGCCCACCCGCAAGTGGAGGGGCATTTCTCACTTGACCTTGTGGCTTCAGAGTACTCCCGGAAATGGCGGCGGAACGTGCATCTTTTTACTCCTGTGGGGGGGGGGGGGGGGGGTGGCGGGGGCCACACGAAAGGTCGTCGCTGCCGACTGTCACGTCGACCGCCAGGGGCAGTGTACCTGCACACGGCCCCGGGGGCAGCGTCCAGGAGGCCTGGCGAAAGTCCGAGCCGAGGCAGTCGTGTGGGGCCTGCGGCGGCAGGCCACGTTGCTCCTCGCTTGCCACGCCCGACGTCGCTCAAGTTGTTCCTTGGCGCCTTTTGAAAGTCACAGGGGAGGGCCGGCATGCGCCACAGTTGAGCACATCGTGGTTCCGAGCCTTGACCGCCGCCGCCGCCGCGTCACTTGCGGCTGACCTCGGCAGAGCAGAACAAGGCACGTACGGCGAACGCCTGCAAGCATCCCCCCCCCACCACCACCACCTCGTCCCGCCCGCCCCACCCTCCCCAACTCGGCACTCATTCCCACCACAGATACCACGCTACATTTGTCAACAATAAGTCGCAGGTATATTTGGGGCTATCCGCCAGCGTACGGTTGCTTAATAAAACCGTTTGCAATCACGGTTGGGGGAAGCATTTTGGTGATGACGATACATTGCTTACAAATAAATTACGAGCTGCAAGTGAAGCTGAAAGATGCAAGAGTGGACGAGGGACGCGAGCCGACAGACTCCCACAAGCATGGAAATACGAGTCGTGGGATGAGTTACGTAGCAAAGGCAGCCACAGCAAGTGTGGTGTTACTACGGCATGCAGAGTGAAATGCAACGTTTTGTTCGATTAATTAGATCTTTGTGGCGATGGAACCCGCAGGATTTATTGTAACAATAAATTGACAAATCACTCGCCAGTCCACAGTATATCAGACGAAAGCAGCAAGAGGCCCTTCCCATTTCTACCTCTAGGGGCTAAAGGCAAAACAGCTATAGACAAGTCGTGGGATAATGCAAAAAAACTAGCAATACACAATTCAATGTAGTACAGCAAACATTTCAGATCACTGTTGTAGGCAACAGAATCCACACTTTTAATATTTTACCTTTAAAAAATATACTGCTCAAAGATAAACTTGCCCCAAAGGGTGAGCTCACAATATTAGAAACATTTGGTTCCAAAAACATATGTACTGTATTTCACATCACGTGGTCATATTACCGAATGATTATAGCCACTCTGGTGTACAGCAGAGCATATGGATTCTTGCTGTTTATGCAGTGAAAATACTGTGCACCTTGTTAAACATTTATCAGGTGTCTTGTTGGCACCTTCTGAAACTTAAGCATTTTGTAGGTTTCATGTTTTCCTAGCTTTTCCAAAAACGTAACTTAACGGTGCTGTCAGCATGATGTGAAGTAGAACCTGAGCGGAGTATCCAAACCAATAAATATCCAAAAATATAAAATTAACTCAAAATGCACATCGAAAATAGATAAATCAGTGAGACAACTATGAGAGTCCTGACCTTTTCCATAACTTAAGCACCGCCTCCTCTTTCACAGACGTGTAGGATTAAATTGTCCATAACGTGTTTGTGTTAAATTTTAAAAGTGGACCTGTAATTTACGAGCTTACAAACCACAGGGTTAATTGCAGGTTTTTAGCATTATCGATAAATGGTATGCAATAGGAAAACAATGGATTAGCTTGCTGCATACGTCGAACAATAACATAAACAGTAAAAGTCCAGTCCTTCGTGTGGCTGATGTACATACCACGCGGTGACTGATGGGAGCCCTGCCACTGGGTGCCTTATGATGGATGCCACTACCAATCGCTTTGCAACGCGCCGTGTGGTGTTAACGTTCAAGTGTACCAACAAGTGTATTCCTTCTAAAATTGAACTGGATTCGACTATCAGTTACATGATTCTTGAAATTAATGATTAAATATACTAAAGCGATCAATACAAAGTCGATAATCGTACTATCCAATGTTGCCCTATAGTTGTAATCTGTGGTCCGGTTATATGGTTAATGGTCACAATTGGGTTGCTGGTTTCTAGGGCACAGAGCTGAAGGGTAAAGACTTGCGTTGATGTGCTTGGGAAGAGATGTCGCGAGGAAATGTTGAAATACGAACCCAAATAAAAATGACCCAATGGTGATGAGACAATACTCTCAACTTAAAAATCTCACCCATTCGAATAATTCATTTATCAGTGTTTTCTATTGAGGTTACTTGTCCAAAAACTTGAAACGAGTCCTTGGTTGTGAAATGCAAATCAAGCTTCAAACACATTAAACACTAGCTAAATATTTCCATTTGCATGATAAATAATGAAATACAAGAAAACAAATCTCAAAAGGGTCACACCATTAAAGGGCATTGAATTAAATTTGTAATGAGGTGCAAATGCTAATAATAAAGAACTATACACAGATAAAATACACTACGCAATTGGCATTCGAATAATCTCTTGAAAATTATGGAATTTATAGAATCCCAAGTGATATTTTTTTGAGGAAGCGTGGTACATTCAGTACGAGCAGGCATGGGCATGTTGTACCCACCTGTTCATGATTTCACCCTGCACATGTCATCTACACTATAAATGCATGGGTTTTTTCTTTAAGTGAAATCGAAAAATAGAGGCTGTCAGAGTGAATGTGTGGTTCTTCTGTGGTTGCTGCAAAGATGCCCAAAGACACCGACAGAGACTTGGTACAATGGGCCCAATACTATTGTTGATGTAGTATGGCCCATGGTTAACTGCAGGGTCCATTTATGTCTAATATTTAGTAGTCAACATCACAATTTTTAGAGGACTTTTTGAACACATTTTGGCCACTGCCAAATACACCAGAAATGGTTGCATGAAAACATTCAAGTTCATAAAATTATGCATGCATTAAAACTACCATGCAATAGCAATACACACATAGGTGAAAAACATTCAGCCTTCATGACCTCACATTAAATTGCACACATCTCAATATACACACACACACGCATTCACCAGCCTCTCTGGAAGCCAGCAGTTTGGGAGTACATTGCCTGGTTTGGTAGTGGCGGTAGCGCACTTACCATCGAGCCAGGATATAGAGAATGGTTTGATTACTGCCACTGCCCACTAATCTCTGTAGTGTGAATATTAAGAGTTTGTGACAGCACTTGCAAGGCCAATGGGTCCTGTTGTATAAAAATGTATCACAACCAAATTAATCAAATCCACATACGAATTCCCACTTAAAGGATATACAATAACGTATTCTAGAAGACGTCCCGGCTTCCTACATATGCTGTTTCGCCAGGAAACATATACGGCATTAAAGCCGTTCCCCACTGATGAATTTACACTTACCTTTCTTGATCCATTTACTACCAAAACATGGGACCACCTTGCTCTTAGAACGACTGGTCTAGAAGATCGCTGTGGATGGGCCAGCTAGTGTTCATGCACTCCTGAGGATAGGCATCACAGAAAAAAACACACATGCACTAGCCAAAGTGCACGCACGCACACACCATACAAAACACCCCCACACCACCAGTAATAGCTCCTTTCATTCTGCAATATCACTCTTCAAGCACTACGCCGCTGTCACGAGAAAGCTTGAGTATTGCATTCACTTTAGGAGAACGATAAAACAGACCACAAGAATCCGGTACATCAAGTCTTGTATTGCTCAAAAGGTCTCGGACGCATGCGTAATCGCGGGATGTGTCACCTTCCAGTACAGAATGCAGATATACACTCTTGAATACAACTCACACAAGCATTTGTTTTTTCTAACCTTATAAAACATGCGCTGGCAAGATACGGGAAGTGCCAGTAAGTATGCGCATTAGCACTGTTCACTTATTTTGATTGGAGAGACTGCACATTTAAACAGTTCAATTTAAGCCGATGCTAATCACTACTTTAAAGGAGGGTTCTGCATACGTACGTCCGTTTCTAATCGTCTAACAAAACCTCGTTATGGCCCGGGCAGCACCCCCAACCCGAGTGCCCAGTGAAAGCGACTTACATGGCTTGCTTTACGGAGATGAGTGAAAGGGTGAAAACTCCGCTTAATCCTGCTTCCCAATATCAATAGGAATGAATACTTAAAAAAAACCAACATGTTTTTAATGTTTACAAAACAATGGTAATGACTAATGACTTTACAACTGCTAAAGACAATGATCTCACCCCGTTTGACCACTACACTGAGATTCTCTTGAATTAACAAAAAAAAAGCAGAAAATATACTGTATTACATTGGTTTATTTCTTAAAATCAAACAATGTTTTTTATACAGGCTTATTTTTAACAGTGACTTTACTGACATGTCAATAGTACTGTAGTATAAAAGGAGACATCATTAACTTTCAAAGCAAGAGGCTTCATCATGGCTTCAGACAACAGAAAGTTTGGAGCATTTCACTGAGCCCAAGAGGTGAGGGACTGTAAACCGATACTGGTACAGCTCGACACCTTCACTTCAAAATAGTTTAATAATTCCAGCACATGTTATTGTCAAACACTTCAAAATTTACCACTTGCACTACACGCAGGCAGTAATAACTGACCAGACTTGCCAGCACTGTGCACTAAATCAGCCACACTTCGAAGCAAAAAAAAATTAACCTTTGTTTCTGAAAATCTTTTCAGTTGTCCTTTTCAACTACTATTTTTTCAATATGCTCAGCCTGTTGTTATACGTGCTGTCCCTTGCTATTAAACCAAATTTAATCAAATACCGTGTGAGAAGGGGGGTGAACCCGGTGTGAATTTAAACATCTCGATATAAAACACCCCTACAGAAAAACAGGAGCGCGATGCGGCACATGGACACAAGCACCGCTTACGGGAAAGTTCCATTTTTATGCGGGGGTGTTTTTTGGCATCACCCTAAAACCCCTGCGCAGGCGCACCGCCTCTGCACGTGAGATCTTATAGCACGCGTCGAGACCAAGCTTGTTGCCGGGGCGCGGGTGGGAGAGGGCAGGGCAGGGCAGGACGGGGCAGGTCGGGGTTGGGGGTGGGGCAGGGAGGCAGCCCCCTCTACATGTTGCCCATTCCAGACACCTCCGTGGTGAGCCTGCAAGGAGCGCCCAGAGAACACCAGCACTCAATCACGCGTGTCGCCACCGCTTCTCACTGTGCACAGTGCCACACCCGGCGGGGCAGCACGTACAATTTCGCGAGGGTCATTCGCAAACAATCAAAGACAGCAGTGTGGGCAGAATTAGAAGGTGATGACAGTGGTGATGAGATGGGTCGATCAACTGTAGCTGAGGCACTGTGAAGTTCACGGCCCCCAAATATGACAAATGCTGGCATCGGAATTGAAAAAGACCGAAGGATCACCAAAAATCTGGGGACATAGCAATAAAGTATAGAATTGAAGACCAGGTGCAAGGGAAATGAACAGCTGCTCACCTGGCATTGATGAGATACTGAGCCAGGCTGATGTTGGCCGGGGAGCCAGTGATGATGACCTGTCGGTCAGTGGCACCGTCAATGGCGCTGGCGATCTTGATTTGTGCACCTGACATTTGCCGGATCTCATTAATCTTGGTGCCCTGCTTGCCGATGATGCAGCCGATGAGCTGCAGGCACACACACGTATACATGTGCATCAGGACCTATCCATGTGTGAATGGAGCATAGTCTGGCTGTTGCAAAGTTGAAGAAATGAAAGGTAGAGGTGATAGAATACTGCTCCTACAAAATCATAATTCCCTTTAGTGTAACTCTGTAGCACTTAAGAAATGCACTAGACACTCAAGTAGCACCATACAATCCCCGGATCCCAATAATCAGATAGCCGTTGGCTAGTCTTTTCTGTTTACAACTCATTCAGGAACTCTTTTTTTATGGTGGAAACAAAATAAAGAACCACCTAAAATCTAAATCAACACAAAAAGGACGATAAAACTGCTGTAAATTATTCCATCCAATTGTGTATGGACTGTTTATGAAACAAGCCACACATTCTACTTCGGTGGTTCTCCAATGGACCTCAATCGTCAGCCTTCACTTTCCAACTGGAATTTGATGAGCTTTATTGGAAACAGAGAAGGCTTTATGAGGAAGGTTGGACGGGTATTTACGATATGACCAGTTAGAAATCGGCGACAAAAAATCCGAGGCAGCCAGTGCAGTTATTTAGCTCGGGGTTCAGGGCTGTGTGTGTCAGCCAGGCCCATCCAGCATGCCTCGACTCACATTGTTGGGGATGCTGATCTCGTGGGTGCTCATCTGGGCACTGGCGTCAACACCTTTGTAAAAAGAAAGAACAAAGGTGAAGATACAGCACACACGGGCACGGTCACACAGCCGCATCAAACTGGCATCCTCACCCGCTCATGAACAAGCTTTTTGCTCGACTCTCTCAGCAATTAATGATCAAGGCAATAAAGGAGACCTGACACACACAGTTTTCCCATGTGAAGAAGGTACATTTTTAAGGAATGTGAAACCAATGCTAATGTTAATGCTGAATAATTATACTCCAAAAGTTTATAATTAAGATAGTTAAAAGTCATGGCTGATTAATAATTTCTCAGTGGTTAATACCTAAATTTCCAGTCTGAATCATACTTAGACAAAAAGTACTTTTCCCATCCCTATGCACCATGTCTCTAGTCACCTGCCAGTGCCAAGTCCACTGGATTTTGTTTATCGGTTGCTACTTTACGCTTTGCATAAATGCAAACAATCTGTATAATGCGCCAACTTATGACCTGTCTCCTGCTATGAAAGAAACAAATCTAATCTTAATTATTAAACTTAATCCCAATTACTGCACGTTATTGCCCGTCTACAAATTGTCTTCCCGTAATCTCTGGCACAAACAGATATGTATATATATTGAACTTTTTTCGCACCGGATGTAGCCTAACCATGCTAAACACACAGTCATAGTGAAATAATCATATAAATCTATGGGCTTCTCTATAAATTGCTGCATGAGCAGCAGTTATCTGGCCAGTTTGTGTAAAACTCACCTGGTGTCGCCTGGTAGCCAGAGGATGCCTGGTTGATGGGTGTAAAGGGAGTGTGCTGCATGGCCAGCTGATGCAGCTTAGTCAGCTGTGTACACAAAGCACCACCAACATCGTCATCATCATTTATTTATAGGGCCATGACCGACTAATAAGGGTCCTTTTATAGAATGTGCTTTTTTTCCTTTATATACTTGTTCGCAGTCCCTTTCAAAAATATATTGCTGTAAGTTAACTAGTGACGAATTGGCATGTTCTGTTTACGTGACAACCTTTACTAAGTTGGCTGTGTCGGGTAGCGGGTTTTAACGACACATTTATATATTTACGCGATCTAACCCAAAAACCTCTATGATGGAAGTTAACTTTTGTTTTGGTGCAAATTTTCAACTAATCGGCAACAGAAAGACATAATGGACAGTTCAACAAACGTTACAAGTAGCACCATTCAATGCTGATACCAGCAGGAGATACACGCATGCAACTTACATCAGGGTTGGGGATGGCGTACTGCCCTTGAATGGTGTATGCCTGTTAAAAAAATGCAATGTTTTAGTAAAAGTACATAGTTTTATTTACACGTTTTAATTGCTTAAGCATTGCATTACGCTTGGATGGGTGAACACATCGTGCATGCCAGAGCATGATATCACTGGCGTCTGTGGGGGCAGCACTCTCTGCATCTCAGTAGAAGGCAATGCACCAAAATCCATTGTTTTATGATTTATAGTTCCACATCTATATTCTCCATCTTCACCAACACACACTGGCCATCGTGAAGTATGAGCAGATAATCTCCATAATTAATCAACGTGGCATGGGGAGGCCTTCTTCCATGAGTGGACTGACAAAAGAGCTGCTGCCCCCCATGTACATTTGGCAAACAATGCATTTGTGAACGAGAAGAGGAATGGCGCACATTGTAGGTGGAGTGGTCCCTGACCTGGCCTCCAGCAAAGATGACAGGGGCGCTGGAAGACACTGGCTTGGGGCGATAAGGGATGGTGGCTCCCTTGGGGGGAGACTGAAGACAAATGCGTCACATCAAACGACATCACCACACATCACACAGCCAAAGCATCAAGTCCTCAGGACCAACACCACTCTACCCCAAACACTTGCTGTACACACAAGCCCCAGTTTTACTTTTCAACAATACTCCAAATTTTATTTTAACGTTTTATTATTTGGTACGTGCAGTGTATTGTTAAATTCACTTCTTTATGTTGCATGCAGAGCCTATAGGTTATTTCTTAAATGTGTTACCAGTTCAACTCAAGGTTGCACAGGCCTCCTATAACCTCGAAAATCAATCTTGCTCTTTATAGCAATCTTTAGTTATTTAGATAATTTAACGGTATGCTATGTGCGTATATCTGCCACATACATTTAAACCCGACTAATGAAAAATGGTAACGGCTTATTATTTTACACTGTGTATAAAGAAAAATCAATGCACTGGCCAAACCAGCATGATGATAAAACAGTTTCTATGAAAGTTAGGTATAATGAAGCAAAAGTATATAGAAATCTGAAACCATCAACTCGCTATATAAACATTTTTTTCAAGGAAGCTGACCAAAAGTTAATACACCTTAATAGCCAAGGCACGAAATTGGGAATTAACCTTCTGAGCTATCTAACCAACATCAATATTTAACATAAACATGGGTCACACATCTCCTTGCATGCAACGGTAAAACACACATGAATAAAAATCATCACTCACCTCCATCATGAGCACACAGATCTGTCGCACACATTGGACGATGGCGTCTGGCGTGCCGGAAATAGTGACGGCACGCTCAGTGGAGTTCGGCAACAGGTCTCCTGCCACCTGCACCTGTGCCCCAGTCGACTGCACTCACACGTGCCAAACACGTGCACAGAGACCAAATGGGCCTTTTGTTAATACAATTATAATCATGTAAAAATCTTAAAAGTTTCATGGTCACTATTCAATACAAAAATCGAGTATATATTATTTGGGTCTTTCGGTAAAGCCACGTAGATAGAAAAATAAAATTATCACAACGTTTCGATCGCAACACAAGCAATCGTCATCAGGTAAAAAAAATAGCGAGAGAGCTGCCGAGGCAGGAGACAATACGTATTGTCTCCTGCCTCGTGGCTTTACCGAAAGACCCAAAGAATATGAATACCTGCAGTCACGAAAGCTTTAAGTCAAGATTTACTCGAATATATTTTAACATTGTGCCTAGTGGCCGCAGGGATCACATTAACCAATTACACGATTTACAACTATAACATTTATAATCGACAAACTCAGCACTCACCTCTCGGAGCTCCTGGATCTTGTTTCCGCTTTTGCCGATGAGCGAGCCACACTGGCTGGCCGGCACCACAAGGCGCAGAGTTACAGGCGGGCGGCTCATCATCACACCACCCGACAGGGTGCTGCCCATGTCCTGCATGCATTGCACATTTTAACAGGACATGACTCTCCAACCAAAACAACCATATTGACAACAAAGAACCCTGCATTTTAAACACGAGACCAATGTACATCTGCTCATGCCAAATTGCAATTGTAAACAAGGCTGGGTTGTACAGGAATCTCAGATGGCTGGATGGTTAAATGGTAATTGTTACTGATCTATAAAGGATTTAATTAAACAATGGTATAGGGACAAAACATACTTCAAAAGAATAGGCGCTCGTGAAGTTTATTTTAGACAAAAGCTCAAACAGGCTATTCCAGACAAATCTCATACAATGGTTGCACCCTTTTCCCAAGCCCCACAGTTTGGATGCGAGACAGTGCTACCTCTTCAAGCTTGTGTGTGATCAGTGCAAAGGCCAGGAAAATGGACTCCATGGGCCCCGTCACTGTCACAATGCGCTCGGGGCAATTTGCATCCGAGATGTTGATGCGAGCTCCGCTCTGTCAATGGGAGACAAAGGGCGTAGCGCAATGACTTGTGAAATGTAACAGAAAATTGTGCAATGAGGAAAATGTGGCATTCAAGAAAGTACACACACACACACACTTTCATTCGGGGCAGAAGAATAGTGTATAATCTTCCACCACCCAAATCCCACATTCATAGAGTCTAACTTCAGAATTTAATTCCCCCAGGATGTTAGGTGGGACGATAATGTTTATGATGACCAAGATGAGTGAGGGGACGAGTGCTTACCTCCTCTCGGACTCGCTTCACAAACTCTCCTTTCTGCACATTCCAAAGAGATGGGGAAGGACTTAATGACAGCAGCACCACTCAATATAAGCCACTCAATTAGACGCTGGTGATGTAGGTAAGCTTTTATGCAGTCCATTATTTTCAAAATATGAAAAAAATATGTTTGAACATTCAGTTCAGAAACACTTTAAACACATTCACTTTACTTATTGAAATCTGCATTCACGGTGTGCAGGTGTATAAGGAATATTACATCTAATATTTGCAGAAATATGTTTTTATTTAACATCAGTGCAGCACAAGGCTTTGATTACAATAATAATGATGCGGATGAGTCACCTTTCCGATGATGCTTCCAACTTCCTGTGGGCCAGAGATAGATAGCATCATATTACCAACAATTGATCGCATTTCTCAACTGCAAATCGCACGTGACTTCTAATGCACTAAAACTCATCAAAACAAAGGACGTACTATACAGAGAACTGTACAATATTCACAATTGTTTGTGTGACTAGAGTATCCAATCCAACATGACACTACGACTGTTATAGATTTAATATGATTTTTGTTAAGTTTATAGAATCGCTTATCAAATTCCAAGTCATGGAATCGATAACCAAATCCAGTTCAATGTCAGGAATAATTGAGCACGATTGGCATACAGGAAGGTTCAAACGGCATGGCGCTATCCAATGAGACGTGACAACCCAAAACAAACAAAATAATACAAAAGTACAGCACTGTCAGTCCACTGCTGAATAAAGTCCTCAAAATGCCATGTGAGGGGCTTGTTTGACCATTCTTCATCATGTTGGTCAGTGTGAGATTGTGAAGGTTAATAAAGTGACAATATTTGTTATAGTTTGTATTTGAATCATCCATAACAAACAAAAAAAACCTACATTACAGCGTGAGGCTGCAGAGTGCAAGTGTGTGCAGCCTCACCTTGCTGTGCATCAGTAGACGGATGCTCAGAGTGAAGCTGGGGCCGCCTTCGGCCTGAGTACCTCCGAGACTCATTGTGACAGCAAAGCTTGACCTAACACTACACGCGCACACACACACAGCCATGTCAAGTCAAAGGCATTGCAGGCTGTTACACAATGCATCTCCAGTAAACTATATCAGTGGCGCTGCTCACGTGGGTGTTACTAAATTTTCAGAATTACATTCCCTTGTACAAATAAATCCACACCCAAAGTATTTGTCCTTGTTGTGTTTACTTAGAATAATTATTGCAGCCTCCTGAGTGGAATTCCAGATGAAAGCGTCTCATATCCCCTGCAGGCTTCACAGTCCGCCATTTTAGTAATCCTTGATTCAGTGGCAAAACATACACAGCTTAACTCAAAGCACAGTATGGGATTATAACATATGCAATTGATTGGGCATTAGGCCAAAGACGGTGGGAGGCCAGAATGTGAACACACAATGTGCCATTGTAAGGTTACGCAGGCACAATATGGCACACTGGTGAATTATTTAAAGCCAGCAGACAATGTACAGTGCATGTATCAATGCGCACATCTAGAAAAAACTCAAATTAGTTCTGTAAAGGTGATACCAATTATAATTTGGCAGTTTAAACATACAGATGATAACCACTGCTCATAGGATATATTTTTAACTATCAAATGTTTCGAATCCACAAAATTGCATTAATATTTTAAACACCTGTTCTAATATAAACCCGGAGGGTAAAGTATATTGTGCCATGTTAATCCTTTCCTCTGGTGTTTTTGTAAATGCACCACTCACTATAGCGAGTGCCTATCCCCATCCTTCATCCATATTGAGTCATTAACACATTACCACCGCTGCCTAGCCATGCCAGAGGGAGGACGCTTTTAATATCTGTACACGAATGAGATTAAAGGAAAGATGAGACTCAATGTCTTTACAATAGTATCAACTGATATAAATACACCCAGTTTACTGTGATCCCTGTGCAGATTAAAGTAAAACACGTTTATTAAACGAAAAGCGAAATAACGAATGTGGACATATTACATTAAATTAACAAAAATTATAGTGGCAATGTTTGAACTGTATAGTGCTTACGATGATAAAGTGTTCCATTTTACCATTAGCAACCCCTTCAGCTAGTTATATCAGCATGCCAGGGGGCAAAAGTCTTGATAAGTGAAAATGTAGTGACAGCAGTGTCACTTTGAGCCCTGGATAAAAAAAAGACTACAAAATCAAGTCATGGGCTAGATACACGAATGAGTTAAAGATGTCAAATAGGACAAAACATATACTCAATGCTGACAAAAAAATATACATGGTTAAGTCGAACACCTGATTAGCTCTCACTGTCCAACCAGGTTGGATCAATTAAGTTAAATTAATGACAAATTGTATCTACATATAATGACGATAGTGCTCATTGTAAGTACTCACAAAACTCATTCCACTTTGTTGTTAATTTGAATATCATGCAGATAACCTTGTTTAAAATCGTACATGTGCCAGCTGCACTCCGATATACAGCAATGTTCGTTTTGAGCCAACACCGTTGTATTTTGGGAACATCACATGAGCAAGACCATTACAGGTGTGACTGAAATTAAACCAAGAAACAGGTGTTATTTAGATGTCATTCCAGAATGTGATGGGAAAAGGTGACGTGTTTTAGCGCAAAAGCGATGGCTTCCTTAAACTCCTGCGTGTCAAAACGCAAAGCTGAGTTTCGATCAGTACCTTAGCAGTCAAAACAAAACACAACCTTCAGATAAAAGGCCCTTTTCTCAGGATATTCTTCACAGGTCTAAAAACCATAAAATATGCCTTCCAAGCAGCGAAACTCAGGAGACAACCATCCATCATAATTCAACTTAAATTGGGAGTAAACAATGCATTCTGGAGCACATGGAACATTAAATTACAGCCTCAAAGTGTGGGTTTTAATGACAAATGCTGAAATTAAAAAAACCGGGCATCAAATATTAAAGTGCAATTGGAAGAAAAAGATCACAAATACCAACCCTAAATTGTATATATACAAGGATATTTATTTCAAAATCTTACCAATTGGTAAGCATTGTTGGAGTAAATATCACTGCCCTGTGCAATGATTAATCAAGCACACTGCATAAACCATGACTAAATTAGCACACAGCAGCTGTGATAAAGTATGCAAGACAAAAGCAGCCATTTTATTAAAAAAAAATTGTACGTGGTCAAGATTAAGATGAAATTAAAGGGGTTTTTTTTCAAACGGCTTGTGTATTTCACATGATTAAAGTGGTAATGCAGAAAGAGCTGGATAAAATATCAATCCGACCAAGCCTGGGAAAAGTTCCACATTCACATGTTCACTGGATGTGGTACAACTGAAATTGTTATATTATATCATCTAAAAAGTTGATTTTGTAAATATAATTGAAAATGATGGGATCTGCTTTAAAACCATCACTGTGATGTGTGCTCAGTTTTTATTCAAAAGGAATAAAGAACATTCACTGTGACAAAAGTTATTTAGCCCCCTTTACTTAAAAAGGCACCAATACAGTTGACAGTTTTAAAATTAATGTTAAAAGCACTCTTAATATCCTGCTCAGGCAATGCAAGGCCTTGGTCCACCCACTGCTGAATTACAGAAATAAGAGACTGAATTGACTATCAATACACGACTAGACAATCTGCTTCAGGCTTTATTGTATTTCAGTCCGTGAAGGTTAAGTTAAACTGATGTGTTTACATTGCACCAAGGTGCACAAACGTATCATTATGAATACATTTTAATCGGCATTTTAGCCCTATACTAAAACCGTCACTTTTCCCATGTCATTCATTTCAACATCAATTTGCAGATAAATAATTTTTTAAACTCCATCAAGAAACAGATTCAAATTCTGTAATGTCCATCCCTCCCAGCTAGCAAAACTTGTATTCTTATATTGTACTAGCAGGAAATTAATAGTTTAGTCCTAGTCTATATAGATAGAAGATTGCAGCCCGTGAGTCTAAAATGATAACAGTTGGCGCGCATTTGTGCGGGATGTACGGCCGACGCGGAGGGTGGGGGGGGGATGCATGAGTTGAGCAGGCACACTGCGTAACTCTGCCGCATGCGGGTGACATCACATATGTGACGTCATCACTCACTTGCCGTGCAATATATATCCATTATTCCCCCCCCCCCCAAAATACAAAAGTCTATTTTTATACTTTTTACATTGTGTACAGTATGGAAGCTACCCGCATGGCAAATTTCAAGTTTGTAGCATGTTGGGAAGTATCCTATTCACAAATTTCCCTTATATATAGCAATATCTCTCCACCTTTTTCTCGCCTTCTCTGCAAATCATTTCCATTTCTCGCTGTCTCTATCGGTTTTTCAATTCCTGCCCCCTCTCTCCCTCTACTGTATATCATCCACTTCCCCGATCCGTTTCTCTCTCACCTTGCACACGCTCTTTATTCTCACCTCTCCCATCTCAATCGCGTTTGCCTCTCTACCCCCCTTTCCCACTGCTTGTCACATTCCCTCGCTGTGTTCTCTTTCCGTTTTGCTTTCTTTCCTCTCCGTGTGCGGGATACACGTGTATGGTGGTGTGTCGGTGGGGGGAAGTGACGTCTGCACGCAGGAACCCGGTTCAACGGTGTGGGATGCAGGTGACGTCATCACGCAGACAAGCGCACATGCACTTGGGAGTTTGGCACACGGCCAGACAAAAATCCATTCACATCATCCAGCCAGATAACTATTTCCAAATATAGTATTGAACAAAGCACTTCACAGAAACATGACCGAATACTCTTTGGTTCTTTCAAAAAAGTCACGTAGCTAGAAATAAAATCAAATAAAACAAATCACGACGTTTCGATCGCAACACAAGCAATCGTCATCAGGTGGGACAACTACCGCAAGAAACCACTGCTGATGGGGAGAAAGCTGCCATGGCACGTGGTTATATCTATATATATAAAAGGGAAATTTGTGATTGTGTCTTTTCAAAATGTTTTGCGTACTTCCCGACATGCAACAAACTTGAAATTTGCCATGTGGGTCGTTTCCAGACTGTACACCATGTAAAAATTATAAAAATACACTTTAGTTTATTTTTAGGGGGAGGGGAGCTCAATAATGCATATTTTTTGCACGGCAAGTGAGCTGTGACGTCACATCTGTCATATGACCCGTGCGCAGAAGTGTAACACTGTGCCTGCTGATGTCACGCAGGTCTAAGGCGTTCTTCGCGCAGCATTGCTTTATTATTTCAGTCGTTTACTGCCGTACGCACCCTGAAAGTTGTGTCTGCAGCAAGCGCGTGTATGTGTACCTATGGACGCGCGCGCGTGTGTGTGTGTGTGTGGGGGGAGCGGTGGTGGAGCGGTTAGCGCGCTGAGCTATGAACCCGGCGACCCGAGTTCGATTCCTGCTCACGACCACCGCCGGTGACGATTATTTGAACCGGTCCTGGGCCTCCCCTAGGTCGACTCAGCCTCAAACGACTAACTGGTGTGGCGTGTGAACATCGCCACTGGGGGGACAAAGGCGGCCGGGCATGGTGCTGGCCAACCCCTCGTGTGCCGTGCCGGCCTTCATAGGTGCTCGCTAACAGCTCTTTCCCCCTACAGTCTCACAGGCTACACGGGGGATCTTTGTCTTTATCCTGTGTGTGGGGGGGTGTGTGGGGGGGGCAGCGACTGCGTAGCGATTCGCGCGCTGCGCTACGAACCTGGCGACCCGAGTTCGATTCCCGCTCACAGCCACCATCGGTGACGATTATTTGAACCGGTCCTGGGCCTCCCCTAGGTCGACTTAGCCTCAAACGACTAACTGGTGTGGCGTGTGAATATCGCCACTGGGGAGACAAAGGCGACCGGGCGTGATGAATCCAAGTCCCGGGCGAAGCCGGGTAGTAAAGCTAGTAGTCTATATAACCTCGTGCCATGGCAGCTCTCTCGCCTTCTTCAGCAGTTGTTTCTTGCTGTAGTCCCACCTGATGATGACCGAATAATAAAGTTTCATACCAGCAAAGTTAAAAAGTAACCAGTGTGATATCAACAATCTCTGCATGCAACCAAAAGTAATTA